CGGTGGTTCTGTTGTTTTGTTGGGTTTGCATCATGATGGGCGTAATAGAGTCATTGCTTTTGTTCGATATTTGGTTATATTCTATTCTAGTGCTGTTCATGAGGCAGAACTTTCTCTTCCGGATTTCGAACTGTCGGGCGGGTTCTTCATGAAGTACTAATGGAATGGTCAGGACTGTATTGATGCATCGTGGGTGTGCAGGGCATACCTTTCTTCTGAACTCATTCAGTTGGTCTGCGTACACTCCCTGAGCATCCAGCTTTTGCCGGCCTTGTGAAACGTCTGAGACTTGTCCTTCTGGTAGCCTTCGATAGGTGATGAGTCGACGAGACCCTGATCAACAGGTTAGCCACGCACTTGGTCTTATAAGTTGTCTGATATGGCTTCATATGAACTTACAAGTGTAGAACGGTTGGACAGATACGTTCACTACCTCCAGGTTCGGGTGCATCGGAACCGCCAATTCAACCTCCTCATCGTTTGCCGTTGGCATCCACATGGCTAGACGTCCATTCGTAACGAGAGTTCTGACAGCAAAGTTGAGAATATCGTTGAGCATGGCTTCGAAGCCGTAGGGCTTCTTAGGCGCAATATATCCAGGTCGACTGGGCGTATGTTAGCTGAGACCCAAGTCCGTGGAGCTTGAATTCGAAGACAATGCGTAGACATACTAGTGAGCAGGGACTCCATCGATAATGACCTCTTCGTTTTTGAGGCCCTCGCGTCTCCCAAGAACCCTGAGTCCTTCGCGGATACCGTAAGGCGGATCACAGATGATGCCATCCAAGAATTGAGCGGAGCGCAAAGGCGTATTGGTAAGGTCGGAAGTAAAGACATCCATAAATTTGCCGACCATATCATACTGCTGAAAGTTTGACAATACTCCCATCGTCCCACCCCTCTCCATCATCTCTTTACCCCGGAAACTGCGTCCATCGATATCCGATCCGAACGTCTCAGCCCCGAAATGCGACATAGCCACCAAGAAGCTCCCCGTACCAACAAACGGATCATAGAAAAGCTTCCCGGGCGCGGCATGAGCCATATTAGCCGTTATGAGCGTCAACTCCGCATCCATAGAGGTAGTGCTAATATAGCGCCTCTTCTTGAGGTCATATTTATTGACGACATCCCGACTACTATTCGCAATCCAGCGTCCAAAATAAATAATCTTCGGCTCTTGGCCCTCGGGACGAGGCGTACCGGGAGAGTTAAGGTCCAATCCGTAGTCCTCGAAGACCCAGAAATCCTGGTCTGGGTTCTTCATGCGAATGGGGCCCTTGAACCCCAGGAAGGAAAACGACTGGATGATCTCGCGCTTCTTTTCACTGCTGCGCTTTCCTGCGAAGCTGTCAATGGTGAACCGAAACGATGAGTCCTTGTACTGCGCCCAGCGATCCTCCGTCCGCCTGCGGACGTCGGCGTAGACTTCATCGAAGTTGGTGCCTTGGCCCCAAAGCTCGAAGATATCCTTGGCTATTATGCTTCGGGTAATTACTGCACGAGCTGCTGCTTCATCAGGTACTCGTATTATGCAGAATGGGGACTGGTGGTGGTAGTTAGCGGCCTGTATAGAATCATAGACGCTGGATAGTCATTGGTGCGGGGACAGGATGATGATGCCAATGAGGGGTGGCATTTTCCGTTCCTCACGCGGGGCAAAAAACCGCACAAAGCATGATTGAGGAACTATCAGTGCTCAAGAACATGGAGACAAAATTTGAACGTACATTCTTATCATAGTGTAGAAATTCGAGTTTCACGCCCGCCAAGTCAGCCAGTGCCTGGATCTCGGATTGCCGAAAAGACTCATGGGCCTGGGCGAAGCGAATGAGATACTCCATTGTTCGTCGCACTCACGCTCGCCACGTATTTGGAGGAGAGATCAATGACCAGAGTTAGTGGTACAGAGCCAAGTTGACTTTAGAAGAAATATTTCTGGATCGCTCTGATATGCTGGGGGTTCTTGTCATTCAATAGCCGTTGACAGGAGCGGAAATAAATTTTCTTTTTGTTCCAGTGGATTGGATGGATTTGGCCGGGAACCCGCCATCTTCTACCCCAGGATGGTCTACAAATTTCTCACCCAACTCATGAGTGGAATGACAACAACATTGATCAGTATCCCAGATACAGGAAGAAATTCTACAATACTGCAGTGTAACAGAGCATGATGAATTAAATAATATGACGGTTTATCAAGCAGGCTGATGCCAGTCAAACAAAACATAAATACATCGAAGCAGCAAGCATACTACATGCTGTATACAGCTATGCACCCATTAACCATCCTTCGTACATACTATGCCTCCCAACAAGATGACCCACAGAAACTGTTCAAACAAAAACCCAAACTTACGCCGCCCTTGAAATCCACAGAGCCAGAGATGACCAGGACCAAACGCCGCCGCTATGCGCCGACAACCTTAAACACATGTCGTGACTCGTAACCCTCCACTGGAAGCACTTCCACCTTCTCGTCTTCTGGAATCATTTCATGCTTCAGCTCCCATCCAGCTCGACGACAAAGCTCAGACACCACCACGTCGCAGTCGCCGAGCAGATCGATGTCGAACTCCGTATGCGACACAGGCTGAGACCCTGTCAGTAAAACCCGGGGCGCAAAAACACAAGGAGAATATATGACTTACGGTACGTGAGATATAGAGCTGAGGAATTGTTCGAGGCAGCACGCCCGGAACCTCCGCTACAGGAGCCACCTTCAGTGAAGTTCCAATGACAATAACGAGGTCCACCTGATCGCGGTCATGGTGCAGCAGCCGGCGGCCAAATTCATCAGGAAGATCTTCCCCAAAGAATGTGATATCGGGCTGAAGATATTTAGAATCAGCATATGCTAGGGAGTCATTGTGCGGGGTGTGCATGTCCACGAACCTTCATGACACCAGGAGTAGGAATCTCGTAGTCGTCATCAGTGCTATCTCCATCATTGTCCTTGCGGTTCTTGTGGACTCCGTTGCTGCTCCGCTTCCTCTTGATCCCCGAATCTTCCGCGATGCGCTTGCGGCAAGAGTCACACTGAGGGATAACCCCCTTCTTGATCTCATCAAATATCTCATCACCCTTGACCTTGTACTGACATTTGACACACGTAGCCGTGGCGAATGACCCGTGACATTGCACGATGTTTTCTGGGAGAACACCCGCATTCGCCTCGATATTGTCGATATTCTGAGTGTAGTTGGTTAACAACTTCCCCTTATCCTGCAGGACACGGATAAAGGCGTGGGTTGGCGAGAACTTCTTCTCAGTAGGTAAGATGTCCTTCGCGATCGAGAAGAAGATACTGGGATCCTCGCGGAACACCTGGATGTCAAACACCTCCTGGGGATCGCTTAGGCCTAGATGCGCCAACTGTGAATAGAGACCAGTGTCCTTTGATCGGAAATCGGGTATTCCGAGACTCGTAGAAATCTGAGAGTATCCTATCAGCACACGTTTCAAGAACGGGTACCAATCCTCTTGATCAACATACACCAGCGCCAGTCAAGACGACGATATTCTTGCTCTCCTTGAGCAGCTTGACCGCATCGTCTATTGTATTATACTGTGGGAGCTTCGGGCGCCTGGAAAACTCGCGCGAAATCGCGATAGCCAGGAGAGGATGAAAGGCCTCGTCCGGCGCATCGGCTAGAAACGCTGGGGGCAAGATGCCGAACGCAGTACACAGCTTCCTCGCAGTCACCTTGTCCTGACCCAGCGTTTCTTCAACAAATGCAGCCTTGCCAACCTCATGGAGTCGTTTACGATAGGCGACGGCCTCTTCCAATGTGCAGGCATCCGGTACTAAAACAAGGAGAAGACCCGGTCAGTGCGCGCATATAGAAGGCATCATAGAGTGCTTACCACCATCGCGGAGCTGGTCGTCGCGTAGGACTTGGATAGCGTCTTCATATAGAGACTGAGTCTCCCACTCATCGCCTGAGCCGTCGCTATCTGTCTCATACTCAGACTGAGTCACTTCTTCCTTCGCAGCGGCTGTATTCTCCGTTGCGGTGCCGGCCTTTGATACTGCGGAGGCCATATCAACGGCTTCCACCTGGACCACCGGATCCTTCAACGAGGAATCCTCCCCGCTGGGCGCTGAAACAAGGTCCATCCTGTATGGGAAGATAGGACGCTCTCAGCAACCTCTATAACGACTCCTCACTCACATTGAGCTATTTGCCACTCGAAGTCGAATTGCCGGAATAAATTTGGCTCTGGTTATCGCCCGGGGAAAGCGGTCGGATCCTACTTTATCCGGCGCCGTCTGCTGATTGAGAGACTATCGCAGCTACTACTTATTAGTTCGACTACTGCTGGCTTGTGTTCGCGATCGGAGTCCTTTGAATGAATAGCCGTAGGCTGGATTGGAAAACATGCCCTTTATATATACTGGTATCATGACAAAGAACTTTCGTAACCATCAAAACATCCAACTTTTTATGAGTCAGCCATCTCGTCATCGCCATCAGATTCCACCTCGATCTCCTCGTCCTCCCAATCTTCCTCACCCTCCCCGGCCTCATCATCATCCATATCTTCTCCAATCTCCTTGTTCATCTCTTGGACCAACTCCAGTGCGTGTTCCTTGAGTCTCTCATCCTCATACTGAACGAGATCGTACAGCGTTAAGCTTTGTTTGAGCCATTCGCGACTAGCCACGAGTGATGCATGGCGCCTGGCCTCTGGGGTGTTGCCGTCCTCTTCAGCGGCATCCTTGGGTGCTTGTTGCTTCCCGGCTAGGAGCTGCAGACACCATCCTCCAAGATACCATGCCTCCACACTTTGGTCGTCCTCCAAGATTAGGCGTTCCAGCACCTCCAAAGCCTCAAGCTCCATGCCGACCTCCATCAGGAGACGTGAAAGACTGATTCTTGTCGCGAAATCAGGAATGGACAAGTCCTCAGGCGGTAGGTCTTTCCAAAGGTCGAGACTCCTCGTGAGCGCTGCTTGAGCCTCTTCTGTCCGTAGCTGCGAGATACGGATTGATGCGAGGGTCTGTAGTACTTCGGGCGCATTCGGAGCGACAAGGAGGGCTTCTGTGATGAGTGATTCGCAACGGTTTTCCGCATCTTCTTCCCACCTACTGACAGTCAGCACCAAAAGATCTGCAAGCCAACCTTGCAAAGGGAAGGAGAGCGACTCACGAGAGATCGGTCATGTAGATCTCAGCAACACCGCATAGGGCATTCGCCATCTTGCGCTTCTTCTCGGCCAGCTCAAGCGCTTCCTCAGGGCCAGGTTTCTGCTCGAGCTGCTGGATAATATGCCTGAGCGACGACACTCCCTTCTCGAACCATTGAACGCTGTCCTTCCCACCCTGTTCGCTCAATTGAGCTAACCATAGGAACTTCTCAGCGCCGCCTCCTTGAGCCTCAGGGATTGTGCCATTCGGGTCGAGCTCGATGGCACGCATAAAGTGTTGTTTCGCAACATCGATCTCGCCCAGTTCAACGTAGATCTCCCCAACGGTATTAAGTGCCACTAATTGAGATGGAGAATTATCCGGCGCATTGTTCAGGGCTTGCTGAGCTAACGAAAGTGCCACATCCGGTTGACCGGTCTGGAGCTGTATCGTGGCCTGCTCGAGGAGCTTAGAGGGGTCTTCGTTCATTTTCTGTTTCGAAACCGAGCCGCCAGCGCCCAAAACGGACTTCGAGCGAGATTTGGAGGCCTTCTTGTTGTGAGGTCTTGATTTTCCCATGATCTATAAGCTGTAGCGGAATTATAAGTCAAACGTACTTGAAGGAGTTTCTCGAGGACACGGAGTAAAGGGTAGAATGGTTTTATCAACAAAAATATTGAGTGTAAATGCTTGAAGCTTTGAATTTCGAGAAGGCGGAGCATAGAAATTCCCTTTTTCGGGCGGGACAAATTTGGGCGATTCCTTATCTGTTTGTCTTGTTTGCATGTGGGATCGCAGCGTATTCTACTTACACACCTAAAGACCGAGGAATTCATTTCCCAAGCACGAGCCTGTCAACGCTTAGACCATTACGACTAAAGACTATTTGCTTGGTTTCTTCAATATATCATACTGCTAGATCTTCAAGTGCCTGAGTCTTGAATTTCCAGCCATTCTCCTTGTCCCTATAACCTAGAACCAAACAATACCCCTCCAGCCCCGCCGGCGGCAGAATTGAAGCAGCATGGGCCGCGAAGACCAGATTGAAGAGCGCGAAGTGCTCGACTCCATTTTCCCCGAGGAAATTACAGGTACACTATAATTACATTGCACCCTTCATATGAATTCTCCCAAGAAAATAGACCGCTGACCGAACTTTACCCCAGATATTTCTGACACCTCATATCGGATATCAATTGCTCTTGACGCGCCCGAAAATGACGTCGAAGAGACAGAGCAGCCTGTCTTACTTTTGCAAGTCACATACCCGGAAGACTACCCGGATGTTGCGCCGGAATTAGAGTTGACTGCGCCCCCGAACGCACCGAAACACCCCCGACTAGATATCAGTGAGGACCGGGACCGGCTTCTTGAAACCTTGCAGCCGACCATTGAAGAGAACATGGGAATGGCTATGGTATTTACACTGGTTAGTGCTTTGAAGGAGAGCGCCGAAGAGCTCATGGCGGAGCGCGTGAACGCCGTTCACGCCGAAAAAGAGATGGAGGCAAAGAAGGCAGAAGAGGAGGAGAACCGGAAGTTCCAGGGTACTGCTGTTAATCGTGAGACATTCCTGGAGTGGCGCGACAAGTTTATAAAGGAGATGGAGGAGGAAGAGAAGAGGAAGCGCGAGGAGAAAGAGGCGGAGGAGAAGAAATCTAACAAGAAGGGCCCGGGCAAGGAAGAGAAGAAGCTGACGGGCAAGCAGCTGTGGGAGAGAGGTCTTGCTGGTAGGGCAGACTTTGATGAGGATGAGGAAGATGGTATGCCGGCTGCTGTGGAGAACATGAAGATAGCTGCTTAGAAGTTGGCGGTCTCTAGATGAGATCTTTTACGAGAATTCAATTCCGTGCTTGATGAATATCAAGCCATTAGAGGCTGGGATCTCTTGAGAATTACTATATTGCAAACAAATTTGGCTGGATGACTGGCAAGCTAGCGGGTTGGCGTTGGGTAGTTGATAGCCAACCAAGAAGTGCTGATGTGCAGTAAGCCTACGGCAGCATTTGTCTGATTTCGCATAGAAGATGGAAGCGATATTGATGCCTGCGAGGCATTTTATTCGATATAGACTATGTTCTAGTTATGATTGCACATGTGCAACCCACTGTTTCACTATGCATACGTACCTACCATACCTTCCATTTCCAAGCGCACTATGTTGGTAGCCTTGACCCGTTGTAAGGGGCAAGTGAAATGCCGGAGAAGCTGCATACCTCATAAACGGCGGTCAATACGCCGAATTTAGCTCTCATTGTGGATGCCGGAGAGATCTCATAATGGCACCGTACTGGCAGCGTGGTGGCTTGATGTGACGGCTTTGGGCCCATAAGGACAGAGTGCTGGTCAGAAACTGCCAAGCGTAAGCTTTGGGCGGCTGTAACAGTATATTTCTTCCAGCATTCGATTCATCCGTCACTCGACTGTTTCTTATCCTGCTCCCCTGCTGGTGGATTCTCTTTCTCTTCCGCTGATTGCTTGGCTTGTTCAACCCGTTGCTTTTCCTCTTGTTCCGCCAATTTGCGCTCCTCAAGGACGACTTTCCACATAGCTTGCGCCAGTTCCTTGGTCTTCCGATCGCCTTCTGATATTTGTCCCTGTACCTCTTTGAGTGATGCTCTAACAGGCCCAGACCACCTTGCTTCTTCTTTATGACCAGTTAATAAGTCCCATTCATCCTCATCCCTGGCCATCGGCAGTTCAGACTCGAGCCTCTTTAGGCGCTCCATCCTCTTCCAGCGTCTTTTGAGTTTCGAGTCCAATACGGCGCTAAGGAACTTGGGCTGGGGCTTCTTGATGAGTAAAAATGGGAAACCACGCGCATTCACGAGTACAGGAACTCGACGCTTCCCATTGACCACAGGCCGAGGACGTGCAAGAATAGAGGTGGCATCCGGATGCCGTTTCGCAGTCAATAATCGGTACCGTTTGTTTGCCTCTTTCTTCAGCTCCTTCCGGCTAACGGGCTTTACCGGAATAACCTTAGCTCGTTCCTTGTGCCATTCAGATTTTTGTCGCTTTGATGATTCGCTCTCCGATATGAGCTTCCTTATCCGTTGAACACCATTCTGGTCGCCTTGTGATGCTGAGTACAATAGGTCAAGAGCCTGAGTGTTTGCGATACCGCGGAATTTAGATCCTGAATGGTCGATACAGAGTCGATTTTCAACGCACCTCGTAGCCTGCCTTCAGAGAGTTGGCTGTTTGAGATGGACTCTGAAGCGTTTTGTATCTGTTGAATCTATTCTGAATGTATGGCTTGCACGCAGCGAGTTCGGAGGGACATTGTGGTAGTTTGGCGCATTGTCGGAGAAGTGCTCGATAGAGTGCCAAAGCTGCCAGGTGAATGGTGTTTAGTCGTACTCTTGCGACGTCCAATATTCAGGGATGTGTCTTATCAAACTTACTTGCGAAACGATGAGCGGAAGACTGCTTGGGCACAACTATTCTATGCATTATCGAAGGGGCAGCATGATCCTGAAGGCTTAAGTTCCGGACTTGGAGACATGTGACTACTCCGGCAACCTGAAATACGTCACGTGTAAACGGGATGATACGCCCTTACTGTGATTGATCAGAAAAACGTTCTCAGGGCGTGCGATCATCATAGATTTTTAACACTTTGGCCCTCGACCGTGACTATTATTAGGGAATCAATTGCACCGGACGCTTGCAGCGCGCGCCGTGCAGCTAGTATGGGCTACTGCTATCCGATCTACAACAGGCGAAGGAAGAGATCCGATTCTCGGATATTCCTCTATGTGTTGATCATGATCTAGTGTCTTTCGCCGGTATGATCGCTCTTGAAAGCTGTCAAAAATATTAACGGGTATCCGCCAAAAACCAGGGTCTTGTTGGTTCGGCAGGTAGAATTCTGCTGAAAGTGTCACATGGTTCGTACTGAGCGAAGTTCTAATTCGATGAATTGCAACTAGGCTTCAAAGAAGACCGCGCCATGCCCGCCGTTATGCATAGACTGTACATGCTCTAATAAGCTATTGAAGAGAAATGCAGATGAACCTGACTTAGAAACCAACCATATACTCCGTCTTCGAATCCACATTCAGTCATGATACCGTCATTTTAGAAGTTCGAGCCTTCCGGAGGCTGGGGAAGCTTCTTGTGCTGAGGCAGAGCCATATATCTAGGAACTATTAGTATCAAGTCACCGATGGCCTGAAGGCCAGGACATAATTACCTTCTGAGCTCGACTAGAATAGTTTCCATGGTATAGTCGCGCTTCCACTGAGCCAAGCAGGGCAGCTTGGTAGGATCGACCTAGCTTGAAGTCAACTTGGAATCTTTCATATAGTAGCGGTCGGGATAGGACGAATCCTTACCTTTCCGCTCCGGCCATCAACGCATGGCAAGTTGACTCGGGATACGAATTGGATGGTAGGGGGGTTGTCGGGATAGTCCGGACCGCAATGGATGTTGACGCTGTAAATTCTGTTCTCATGGACACTCTGCGCTCGTTCATTATGTCAGTGATGCTATTGTATAGTATAACGGATGCGAGTCGGAGGCGTGGGACGAACGTGAGGGGGGCCGAGAATAGTTCCGTTCCAGTTACTCATCATCATGTCTTCACCATCTGCAAGACCATAGGAGCATGACTCTAAGTTGCAGCGATAGGAATACGTCAGCGAAATGAGTCTCCTATGACTATAAGTAGAATAGCACTTACCAGCTCCCAGACCCTTCTCACCCTTCTCCAGCTCTTCGAGCAGTCTGAAGTTTCTGGGCACTTTAGCTGCCATCGTGCGGGTAAGAGGCAGGGTTATGTCGAAAATAGATAATGCGAAATAGGAAGTTGTAAGGGAGACGTTTGATCCTCGGGGCGGAGGAGGGGCACTGTGACCTTATCCCACTTCCGGCCGTTAAGCTGGGCTTGCGTATCTGGTCCCGCCGGGTTCCTGAAGAATTACCACACGTGATGATAACGGCTATATACATCACGTGATAACTCTATCTCCGCGGGTGCCTTGGCGCTCCCCAAGATGTCACTCCTGATGCCATTGCTTCTGAGTTGTTTTTATTGAGCCAGTCATTGACTGCTACAGCTGCTGCAGATTTATATTGAAGCGGCTTGTCTCTAGAACATATTGGTCTGAAATTGTCGTGATTCAAGTGCTTAGCTTTGTATTCCGTTGTCCAACCAGCGACCCAACCACATGAAGCCACATCTGCCTAGTGATACTACTATTTGATCGATAGGGAGTGGCATCGGCCATGTACTGATTTAGCACTCCGGTGGAAATGTCCTCTCAATTTCTGCAGACAGAGCTCTTGAATTTGATTCAGGAATCCAAGAGAAGAAACTCTGAACTGCGTAATGTATGTTTAATCGCCATATTAAAGGGATACGCAAGTGCCAGTACTGACTAAATTGTAGGCGGCCGAAGAGTCCCTTAATGAATTGAAGGCATTGCCTTCTACGTCTGAAGCGCAGATCTCAGCAGGTGAGCGTTTGCAAGCCGGTGGCTTGCTCCTCCGTCGAGGGCATACGCTGAACTTTCTATAGACTTGGTGCGCAAACCTAAGTTTGCGAATCCATTCATCCTCGCGTGCCACAGCCGCCATGCAAAGCTTGCAGGCATTGGGGTGGTCTGCCTGCAAAGGCTAGTGGCCTCACGATCACTGCCATCTGAGCGGCTGAAAGATGTTCTTGCTGGACTGAAGGAGACAACGAACATGAGTAGGTTATCGCCTACAAGCATTACATTCCATACTAACGTTGCGAAGGCCTGGATATCCAGCTCAAGATATTGCAGTCGTTGCCTTCTTTACTGCAGCACTATTCCAGTGACCTGGGAGGAGACCTCCTGGTAAGCACTTTGGAGATATGTGCTACTCTGCAAGGAAACAAAATGCTTGCAGTCTCTAGTACTGCCGCAGCCACGTTGCAGCAGCTAATCGTGTCAACTTTTGACCGTGTTTCAATTGAAGACAGTCAGTGATCATGGACTTTCTATTCGCTCTAATCTGACACAGGTCTGACCGGGAAACCAGAGAATTTTGATAAAACCACACCAACGACGACTGTTAAAGTCGATGGGAACCCTGTAAATGTAGGGTATTTTGCATACGATGCTCTGCGGGTAAGTGTCCTTCTACTTGAGCTAACATGATTCCATGGCTAACACACTCATAAGGTTCTGGACGACCTCTGTCGACTCATTGATGGGGAACCTTTGTATTTCCTTCGAATCAAGTCCCTCTCCTCAGCGTTTACCCTTGAGCTTATTGAGAGCATCCTGATCAACAGCGGTAAACTTTTCGTTGTTCATTCCGAGCTAACGCAAGTTTTGCGTGTTCGGCTCATGCCGATGATCGTAAGGTATCTGTCTGAACGGCATAGCTTTTCGCAGACCGTTCGAGTCAGTCGCATCCTCTTAGTGCTCCTCAAACGCCATATGTCTCTCCTTCCTGCGGAGTGCGAGATGGCCCTTGGTCTCTTGACGCATCTCCTTGAGCCAGACGGAAACTCCCCTTGGAAACGAGTCCTCTGCATGGAAGTCTTCCGAGGCTTATATGCCGAGCCAGGTCTGGTGAGGCTCATCTATTCCCTGTACGACAGGGATGACCGGAGAAAGAATATTCTCAAAGACCATATGGCCTCTCTTGTCCGCCTAACTTCCGAAAAGCCCTCTTTAATTGGAGTCAGTAGCCGGTCGACCGTGCCTTACCGAGTTGAGCATGCGAGATCTATCACTGAGGAGCAGATCACGCTCGAGGCTGGTGGAGTTGCTGGCGTCATCGGAACCACCGTTCCATCAACTGACACTGATGTACCAGGAATCAGCAGCCAGTGGAGTGTGGTTCGCACACCGTATATGGAGTTGCTTGACAAGGCTGATCCTCCTACTCCTCCTGATACATATATCTACAGTCTTGTGCTGAACTGCATCGGTAGCTTTGCTGAAGGACTCGCAAAGTTCATACTTCCCTTGACGGTGCCCGACCTTAAGCAAAAACGGAGAAGTCGTGTCATGAGTCCTCACCCGGATGGTGGCTCTTCTCGGCCTTCACAAGACCTTCAACGGACGAATTCCTCCAAAGGATTGCAGCCTCCAGGTCCTAAAAAGTCCTCTGTACCGATCAATCCCCTGCAGCTAGAATCTCATCCCCAACTACCCGCAATACAAAGCTGTGCCGGAATAATCGAGACAAGCTGGCCTGCTATTCTCGCTGCTTGCTCAACTTTCTTATACGCATCGCTCGATGATGACTTTTACCACAACCTTGTCCGATCAATCCAGAAGTTAGCTCATGTTGCTGGTCTTCTCAGGCTATCTACGCCCCGCGATGCTCTTTTGACAACCCTAGGAAAGGCAGCCATGCCTGCAGACGCAACTGGGACGAGGCCTCCGGGCACTGCAGCGGCTACTACAATCACTTCGCAGTCTAATAAACCCGATGAGAAATCCAGAGGGTCACAGGCGTCGCTTGCTAGTTCTCCAATACCGGCTGAGACTTCCAATGGCCCTTCTGACGTTGCGCTTGTGTCCCTCAGTACCCGGAATCTCCTGTGCTTGCGGGCGTTGCTCAATCTGGGCATAGCCTTAGGTCCTACACTAGACCAGCCGGCCTGGTCGATAATACTAGGAACCCTTCAAGACACAGATTTGGTGATCGGCATGGCTTCCACGAAGTCACAAGCCTCAACCAGTACTTCTGGGGAAACTTCATCTGCAGCTGGTGTCGATGTGCCTAAAGCTAATCTCAATTCTGAAATATTGGCTGTGCAGGCAGCGTCGGCTAAAATGATAGAAAGTACTAGCGAATATCCCAGCGGATCATTCCAGGAGATCTTAACTGCGCTCTTAGATCTTTCTGGAGAACCCGAAGAATCGACGCAAGAATCAGCTGAGGTAACAAGTACCATTCTCTCACCACAGTCGCGCTCCCATTTGATGCGCAAAAACACTCACCGCGTATCACGCTCTATGGGAAAATCGAAAACGCAAGATGAACTATTAAAATTTGTCCTCGAGAAAACAAACGAGCTGGCTCGGGCAAATCTCGAACGGTTCTCATCACTAGCCAATGCTGACCAAGACGCCTGGCAACTTCTTACGGGAAGATTGATGTCAAGTGCAGCGGACAGGTCTAATATCCAAAAGCTTCGATTACGAGCCAACGAGGTTCTCAATGACATTGTTTTCCAGACACTGAAGCAATCTGATACCGGGGATGTCTCTGAGCGGAATGCACGGCAATTGAGAAATCTCCAGACACTCAAGCTCCAAGTTCAACTGCTCTACGATTCTGGTGCTTGTTCGGCAGGGTCGCCTTCAGCGCCCGTGGCCGAAGTTCATGAACAGAGCCTGGAAACACTGAAGAGCATCCTCGAACAATATGCCGAAACTTTCGTCGATGGATGGTCCGTCGTTTTTGATCTTATAACCAGTGTTTTTGGCGAACCCAACGGCACCGAAATACCAAAGAAAGGGCGCCAGCCATCATCGACAGCAAATTCGCCTCGACTTGTTCGAGTTGCTTACAAGTCTCTGCAGCTCATAGCTTCCGATTTTATCTCGTTGCTTCCAGTACCCTGTCGGCTGAGCCTTGTTGATTCTTTCTCAAAGTTTGCCCTGCAACAGCAGGATTTTAATATCTCACTGACAACTACCTCATCTTTTTGGAATGTTTCGGACTTCCTTCAGGGACAGATCGAGCAATTTTGCATCGAGTCGCACGTTGACTCCTCTGTAACTGAAGACACCCTTGCAGGGCTAGCCAAGGGGGAGGATCCTTCAGTGTCGCGAAACGCGCTGTGGTTATTGCTCCTTCTACGGATTGTTGACCTCACGACGGATAGCCGGCCGGAAATTCGGAACTGCGCTGTTCAGACACTATTGCGGATCTTTGACGCCTATGGTCAACAACTGTCTCCCAAGGCATGGCGCTTGTGTCTGAACCGTGTCTTATTTCGAATGGTGGAGGAAATAGAGACCGAGCTCACCTTTACACGAGAGGAGAATAGCAGTCGCACTCCCGATGATCTCAAGGCGTGGACTGAGACCACTGTTGTCATGATAAAGGGGGCTTCTGATCTTATTACTACTTTCTTCGAGCCAATCGTTCAAGATGACCTATTCGATCAGTCTTGGGAACGGCTGCTTGAATATTTCCGAAAGTTGATAAGCCTACGGCTTCTTGAATTCAGCGAGGCTGTATACTCCAGCCTGTCCAGTATTCTTCGTCGTGTGCAGGCATCTTGTAGTCTGAGCACACAGGCCCTGCGTTCTGCTTGGCTACTCTGGGTAGATGGACACCCGGCCGATAAGGAAGATCTACTTGATCTGGAACACCCTAATCAAGATGCGGCAATAGCATACCTCCAGTCATTCCAGCAGATTTATCGACTATACAAGGATGATATTGCTGGAGAGCAGGTGAAAATCATCCTCGGACATTTGCGTCTTCTTGCTTGGAATTCAATATCCCCTCCATACTCGCCAGATATTGATCGCTTATCGCGCCTTCAAACCATGATCATGGAGTGCTTGAAAACATTATGCCTTGACAAAGACGATTCTCAACCAGAGATTCTATTTTGTCTCGCTGATTTTGCGGATGCGCCGTTGTCAAAGTGGAAACCTGCAAATGACTCAAAGAGACCGACTTATCTTGCCTTCTCTAAAGCTGCGATAGAGCTCCTTAGCTGGTACATCGCTGAGCACGGTATCAAAAAAGACATTTTCACGAACGGTTCGCTAGCTACGGCTCTAGAGCATCTCGCGAACCCCATTGTCCAAAGGTACGAGTGGTCAGGGAAGGATCGGGAACCGAGTCTCTGGCGAAAGTCCACAACAGCATCCTTGAACGTTCTTCAAGTTGCAATCCCTTACGTGGAGACACAATATGGCGATTCGGAACATCCTGAAATCACACATTTCTGGAAGAGCGTTAACGACATTGCAAGTGGTATTGTCACCGCTCGAGGTTATCGAACCACTTCCGCTCCCCGGGCCACCATCCTGGATGACGAGTCCTTTGACGTGGCTGCTTTTGGACGACTCAAGACACTAATCATTCCATCACTCGGAGCATCCGTGATCCCGGACTCAATCCGCCGGGACTTCTCCTGCGCCTTGTTGCACTCGTCCTTCATCTACCTCCCTCAGCGCTTCGACGTTCCCGCCAACTCCCTCCAAGACCAACCCCTTAAGGACATCTACGAAATACGACCTGGAAGGACCTTCGAACCCCCACCCACAATACGGACCAAAATGGCCTACGCTGTGATTGACACACTCTTCGAACTAGCATCATCGCCTTCGGACCAAGCAACACAAGCCACTAGCGACAATACACCCGAACATCGAAACACCGCTCTCGTCCTCCTTGCACGCTCCATCACCCCATACCTTATCCTCCGTTGTGCCGTATCCCTGAAAGGCTACATCGCAGACCAGCCCCTGCGCGGCCTGATGCCGCAGCCCACGCCCGCGCGCAGATCCCTTCTACATCTCCTCCGCGGCATGGTAGGCCTGCGTAGCGAGCCGTCGGCAATCCCTCCACCCAAGACAGCGCCGAACGAATCAGCCACCGCCGAGACTAGTTCGGACTTTGACCGGGATCACAAAAAGCACCTTGCATGGATCTACCCGCTTGTTGTGCGGGCCGTGCAAGTTGCCGGGAAGGAACAGGATGATGGTGAAGTTCTGCATGCTCTCGGGAAGATTCTGCAGGAGGTTAATGGTGGTAGTGCTGGTTTTCATGTATGATGTATAGGATTGTCGTATGCCAGTTGTTTGTTTCTACTCTTGATGTTTAGCTCGTTGGGACATATTACATAGACGATCGGGCCATCTAGCAAGCGTTGTTGTCTGTTCCTTTGTTCCTTATCTGCATCTGCTCAGGTTCAGCTGTACGACTAGGTTTTCAATGAACATTCGGTTTTATTTTGTGTTGAACATGTCGCAGATGAGTAGATAGAGCCTTACCAGCATTTTGTTACACCAGTGCTGTAGTTTAGTGATAATTATATCTGCTACTTTCCATGCCATCGCAAGATAAACGAATATAAAGAATCGAATACGTAACGAAATCATAAAGTAAGTTTCATGTTGCTGAGATTTCATCATAACGTACAGAGAAATACAGCCAGAAATAGGTTAATACACAGAAGGGTATAATGGGTAAAGTTAGGTAACATCAAACGGAAGTCTGACACAGCGCAGCACAGCACAGCATCAGCATCAGTAGCAGCCCATGAACAAAAGACGATCTATTTCGCTACAGCACGAGACGCGCACAGATTGAATCAAGCCGCCTGAGCAGAGATTTGCTGAGTGAACTGAGGCTGGGTGTCAGTCCGTCCGGGGCCGGCTGTCGCCGAACCGGCAGGCAGCTGTTGCTGTTGCTGCTGCTGTTGGAGGAGCTGCTGTTGTTGGATCTGTTGCTGCTGGGCGATTTGAGGGGTGGTGGCGATCTCGGGAGCTTGACGGTAGAGGACAATTTCGGATTGCTTGAAGTAACGGCGAGCGTCTGTATAGGCCCGGGTTAGCAAGATGGGGGTTCGAATGTGACGATCGAAACTTCCGGAAGGCAGCGAAAACGGGAGGGAACTGGGGCCGGTGGGGCCACCACGCGAGACCAGAATAGTTTGAGGTTTAGCGTGGGGGTTAGTCACGGGGAGAAACACCCCAACTGTGGCCACTGGCCAGATTGCAGGTTTTCGGCCCGATTAAGGGTTTCAATAGCCGACCGGCTATTGACCTGGGTGGTGGGATGCCGTGGGATGATGGTATGGAGGAAGTGGGCCGGCTAGCTAGCCACCACGCCTTTGCAACCCAAGGCCTGGTCTCACATGCGTGGGATGGCCGATGTGGTGCTCCCACGCCAGACGGGATTCATGAACGGCAGTCGCAAAACAAGGCTAAAACGCAGATGAAACGCAAATGGATGCAGCATCACGTACCTTCGTCGATAAGCACCAAGCTGAGGTAGTAGCGTGTCGAATACTTCTTGTTCACGTCGCGGAATGTCGGGGTAAGGTCGAATCCTCCTAGGAACAGACGGATGGGGATGGTTTCACCTAGAAACAGGTCAGTAGAGGTGTTCGGCTGTGACAATGCCGCAGGTGTGACATGTTGCGGTGTCTGAGAGCCAGGTGAGTCCGAGCCATCGACTTACCTCGGGAAGGTGATCCATCCATGATCTGCGCGCAGCATGTTAGTGCTTCGGACGTCATACGGCGATTTAAGTTGGATTCAGTCTTACCTCGAAGCGCACGAGCGTCTCACTTTCGTTGTACTGGTTTGGCGGAGATCCAGTCGTCTCACGACGGATGATGGATAGCTCCATGTGTTTGATCTTCAAGCGCACGAGGAGGAAGTAGATGCGTCCCACGATGACATCCTTGAGGTGGTACTTGGATTTGGAGTATTCGAACTCAATGTGCAGGCAATCTTCGATACCAACGTCCATCTTGATGGGGCTGTTGGTCTCCGGGGGCATGCGGTAGGAGTAGACCCAGAGGTCCTTTTCCCGAATTACGTCCGCCATGCGCCTGGACACTGTCACGCGGACAAAGTATCGTAGCTTAACATTGATACCGTTGTATGATTCGTATTGCTTCTCGATATTCTTGAAGTTGAACGGGAAGGTCTGGGGGTGCTGCAGTTCTCCGGGAGCTGCGAGCTCCTGTACCAGCGACAGGAATTCGTAGTGGTTACCGCGGTCATAGAACATTTCTAATCGTAACAATTGTGTGTCAGCATCGAGACTTGAAGTTTTAGAGCAACTGTGCAGTGGGGATGGTGATGAGGTGTGCCCGCCCCCTCATGAGAGCCATTGTTCCATACCGATCGTGCCAATGAATTGCACTTTGATGCCCGTGTGTTCCAAACGCTTTCCATCCTTAGGTCTGACCGTCACAGCACCCTTGACAGACTCTCCGTCCATGTAGAGGGGGACCCTCTCGCGACGGCCCTTGTCGAGCTTGACATCAACCGTCTGACGCTCATCGCTGTCTTCGAGGACCACATCGATGTCGACGGGCGTGGAGAAGAAGAGGGAGGTCATCGTAGGCGAGGCGTTCGAGAAATAGAGATAAATATTAAGTTCGATCAGCTGGAAAGAGCGTAGTGCACTTGGTGAATCGGCCTATGGAATGCGATATCACACAATGGCCATGTCGCACTCAGCTTCATCTGGTTAGGCGGCATCCCGACTGCCTGGCGGTGGGCGACCTGGCATATCATTGCTTAGGTAAGCGGTACTATGTCATCCGCAACTATACCTTTATCACCACTACATAAAATCCATAGTAGACACTCATCAGAAGGGAAAGCTCTGTTGCTAGAGGCCTTGCATAAGTACAAAGGCTGAAGGTTCTTCCTAATATGTCTGATGGTGACAGAATTGCCATACCTGGTAGGTAAGGGAGTGCCGAACCTGTCGAATTACAGTGTAGCAGAGCTATGCACATCCATAAAATGACTCAATCAACATGGCACTGACGGAGAAATTTACCATTGATGATTGAGGCAAATTTGTCCGTCATCAAGGGGTTGTACAGCATATGACCGATCCTACGACAACACTACGAGAATAAGCCGGACGACAGCGCATGCTAAACCCACGGGCTTTGATTGAACGTTCATCCAACTCCTGTCGGTCAGGAGGGGTAGCCGCATCATCTGTCCAGTATCGTTACACCTCTGTGCGCATGCAGACTGCTTTTTATGCTTGATCACAGTCTGAGCCAGGCAGTCATCGGGCACACAGTGAACCGAAACACTTGTCAATTGGTAGAAATATGCAGAGAGCCGCGGACCCGTAACTTTAATTGGCGCTGCTGGAAACATGTTTCCGTGCTGTTGCATGTACAGAGTAGAGTATCCAGGTAGGACTGCATGTCGTGCTGGCAGCAAGACTGCCTGACTCCTCCTGAGGAAGGAAGTTCGTCGGGGAATTTGAACCTGCATTATTTGACTCGCATGCCAGCAATCAAAGTTACCCCAGACTGAGCCGCGGCCATCCATCTGCACGCCACTCATCAAGCGGTGAGTATGCAGGATCAATCAGCGGGTGCCAGATATGTCCGCATGGGTTCTAACTGGTTCCTGGGAGGAATGGCGGTCTTTCGCAGCTTATTTTAGGTTTTCTGGAGTCCATGGCTAGCAGGGTAACACAAGAGAGGCAGACAAGTTCCAGTGAAAGTAACACCCGTGAGGTGAAGACCTCGATTTGACCTGTCGTCTGGCCAAGTTGGGCCCGACTAGGCAGGCTGGATTGCCGTGGAGGCCACGGGAACGAACATCGGCAGGTTGAAGGTTCTTGTTCGCCAGTCGGATGAGGGAGGACGATGAGTTGAGCTTGGCGCGGGAGACGATCCTGTAAACTAAGTAACTTCGACCTCTATCCGTTGTTTTATCTTATCTGCAAGGACTGGGGTAGACATTTGAGTTCCCTGTTATTGTACTCGGGACCACTCTGGATTGCCATTTAGCAAATAGCAATAGTATGCCTGGAAAGTCGCACCGTGGAAAATGACCCTTTTGGGGACGGTGACCCAATACCAGGTTGGGAATAGCGTGGGGGTTCGAGCCATTACCCGTCCCGGTACCGTCAGAGACCAGAAACAGACGTACGAAATTACGGTTCCGAATCCCCGGTTGCAGCAGACCCAGTGACATCATGGCGGATGGGCCGGACAAGCCAGCCAGCAACATTCATTGGTGCGACACGGGAATTGAAGGGTGTCGGGGGTGGTGACACAGGATGTGATGGCCTCGCTGAGCTGAATGGTCCCTACCGGGCAAAATTCCTTTGTTCCTGCTGCTGAAGAGAGAATGAGGGAATAAGGGGGAGAGGGAATGCACGCGTACTTTTTTCTTCTCTGGCTGTATGGAGGTGTGTATGCGACAATACGAGGAGTTGTTCTGCTACCGATCGGATCTCCCGCTAATGACCAGACCGCCGGACTCCTGAAAGTTGACTTGGAGTGAGTCTCCCCCACTCGCCCGTTTCGCTGCTCAATATCCCCCCCACTCGGAATGCCCTACTATTTTGCGTCTTGCAAATGGCTGCAGCTGCTTTGTGATTCGATGGCGGATCTGGTTGAATCGGTCCCCATTCACACAAGCCCATGACGATGCGGTGGAAACAGCTCTGGCAATTTCCGGCCCCAACCTGTTAAACCATTACTCAAAGCCGGGTCTCATCTTTGAGTTAGAAAAATCAAAGAAAATCAAGAGAAGGAATTTATGAGAAATTGGCAGTCCCAATGAGATTACCTGTGCCCGACAACTGACCCACTTGCATTTCATACTTGAAGGAGATTTATTGATTTATTGATTTGTTATAAACTGCCCTGAAATCTATCTATCATTTTTTATGATCTAATTCCCCTTCCTCTTGTTGGTTCCTTTCTCTCTTCCTCTCTCTCTCTCTCTCTCTCCCTCTCCCTCCCTTACTTTATACTACTTATATACCCAAGTTACTGCCGAAGATCCGTTACCCCATACTTTTCATACCATTAACCTCACCTACTACTACCACTATATTCAACTACCGCAAGCTTCTCCTCATTCCTCGTCGGGTGACCACTTGCGCGCTATAGGCTATTCACAACCATTCATACTTCTTATTCCCCCCGGGTGGATAAACCGCACAGAAATTCAACCCTATCTATCCCACGGTTCGCAAGGACGTCATACATAAGTTCTGGGTTCACCACTCTCACTCCCCTTACCGTTCACAAGCTTTCTACTTGCTCCACCAACAACATCACCACCACCACTACCATCACCATGCTCTCCGCCGGCGAACGGCCCCAACAACCCGCCATGACCAACGCAGCCGCAGTAGTAGATTCCACACGCGGTCCCGTCAGCAAAAGCCCATTGACCAACTCCGTGGCCAACTCCATGTGGGGAAGCACCAGCAACAACACCACAAGAAGTACACCTATAGCACCGCAGGCAGAGCAAATCCAACACATCTGGGTAGTGACGGGGCCAGCGGGATGCGGGAAAAGCACAGTAGGCAAGGCGATTCAACAAGCGCTTAACATCCCTTTCTTAGAGGGTGATGATGTACGTCCATACTCTATACAACCCCTACCTACATACATACCATAACCATAACCACCCAGCAAACACAAACACACCCAACTAACAAACCACCCACCCTTAGTTCCACACCATCAACAACAAAGAAAAAATGTCCAACGGCATCCCCCTCACCGACGCCGACAGATGGGACTGGCTCATCTCTCTCCGCCAAGCCGCCATCGAGGCGCTCTCCCCCTCCGAAACCAACAACTTCCACCCGCCCTCCGGCGTAGTGGTTGCTTGTTCAGCCCTGAAGCAGAAATACCGGGACGTGATGCGCGTCGCGGCGTACGGATCCCCCTCGGTCCAGATCCATTTCATCTATCTCAAGTTGGACGAGACCATGCTGCTGCAGAGAGTTATGAATCGACAGGCGCATTACATGAAGAGTAGTATGGTGCAGTCGCAGTTGCAGGATCTGGAGGAACCCAAAGGCGAGTGGGATGCCCTCACAGTGGATGTGCGTGCTTCGCAGGCGGAAGTGCAGACTGAGGTGTTGGGGTTGGTGAGGGATACGTTGGCGAGGTATCGCTGATGAGACTGGGGCTAGATCCAATACACTGGGTTGGCTTGCTTGGAAATAGGTGTGTGTGTATCTGCATGATGAACTTACTTCATGGGGTTTGTATGGAGTTGGGTACTTCTCATATGCATTTTGGGCCTGATCTTTCTGTCTTTGATTTGATTTTCGATGTGGGAGTTTACTATGGATTGCTTGCATACTCCTTTTTTGTTCGGTGTTCTTGATTGATACCTACCTACCTATGTCTGATCTATACATGACTTTGCTTAGAGATGTCACAAACATTTACCATTGCTATTTACTTCAGTATAATTCCTGGTTATAGTTCTTGATGGAAATTCCTGACACCTCTATTGAGCCGGGTTCGGACTGGGTGGCATCGTTCGCTAGTCTACGTGTGATATGGGATGGGATTGTAGGCAGCAATGGATTGACTTTGTATGGGACTAAGTTTGGAGGAAGGACTGCATTGGCTACGCTATGTAGGTTCCGCTTGGTGGCTTGGTCTACTACTGGATTCTTACAGGATAGCTGCCTGGGGCGGTAGCTGGTGAATGCTTTTGAGATGTCGTCGATGCGGCTACTGGTTGTTAGATAGTATAGAATACATACCAGTTCATTCTAAGAGCATGGATTTGACTTGTTTGCCCTTAGTGAAGTGTGTGTCATTTTGCTATGTTTCTCGCCAGTGCAAAACAAAGTAGAAACAAGAAAGCAAGCGGGCAATCGGTATTGTAGACGAGTCTCGGCAAATACAACAGTGGATAAACCCTTATGAACTAGGCGGGTAGTAAATGAAATAGCTCCCTAGCACCCTCTCTATAACATCTCTCTTCTTCCTAGTTGAGCATTCTGGGCTAGAAAAGTGTACAAAGATGGTAGAAGAATACAAGACAGACAACATCGGAATCACCAGAAAGACCGCATGCCACTTTCAACATGCCAGATCATACCGTCATTGCTGGCTGGTATATCATTGAAGTGATATGCCCATAACTGGCCCGTGCCTCTAGTCCCTCGTTACAGGAACGGCTCGTCAGTGTCATGTACAGGACTTCTGGGCACGTTTTTGTTGGGAATAAGCGGCCCCTGCTGTTCTGTGAAAGGGTCCCACTCAGTCGACTTGCCTGTATTACCGCAGAAGATCGTGATCCAGCTCTCGAACTCCTCTCTATCATCTTTGTTCTTTAGGTCGATGGTTTTGCCTCCGGGAAGAAGTGGGACAAGACGTCGACGGGGATCTGGATCCGTGCATCGTGCAGCGATATCATGAGAAAACGAACTAGCATCGGCTCCAAGGGCTGGGGCTTCTTCATGTCGGTAGACATAATAAAATAGCCTGGTCCTCGTAGAGAAGGCCACAACAACAGGTCGTCCTCTGGCACTGACAGTAAAAGTTAAATTCTCCGAGTTCTCTCGTTGTTGAAGCTGACGCAGAGCATGCTTCTCTGTCAAGTCCCATTCCTCGGGACTTTCGTCACGCACATGGCGCAAAAAACAATACAACCCATTGCAATAAGTGAAGTCCACGATAAGCTCACGGCACCTAGGGGGTAGAAGACAACGAAATGTCGGGCCGCGAATATGAACGATCAAATGGTCCGGATTATCCAACCCACTGCTGAGCTGGTACCTTCTCGCGATATACCTGCCCCAGCCATCTTCGACTGACCCGACATACATGTATTCTTCCAGGTCAAATAGAAACTCGGGCTTTGGGACTCGACTGCCGCCAATATAATCATAGTACATTCTGCGGAAGACGTTAGATACGCATGGCAGCGGGCTATCGAAACTTACTGTTCAGGCATGTCTATCTGCTTTTCATAAGGAGGACGCCTCTGAACTACCTCCGAGAATACCAGGCCCACAGAATCCAGTATGGTTTGTCTAGTGGCATCTGCAATTCCGATCACGGGATTCAACCTTACTTCATGATCTTTGAGGGTGAGAGAAATCCACAACTCTTCATTAAATTGCCTCATCTGAGAAATGCTCTTCTTTCCTGAGTGTAGGTCTTCCAAGATAAAGCTGTTTTCGGCAATGTCGAAACCCACAACAGCATAGTCATCGTTCAAGCGAAACTCACGGTTGCCGAGTCTTCGGCAGTAAGATGACACTTCGCCAAGCGCGCGACAGGTCTGTGTATCGGAGAACTTCATAATGGCTCCAAGTATCTCGTTGGGGAACACGCGCGAATTTGCATACTTCAGATATTGATAGGTAGCTGAATCAAAGAAACGTAAGACTGCCAGAAAAGCATCCGCTTGCATCTTCTGCCGGGAACCATAATCAACAGACTCCTCGTAGTCGGCTTCGTATACTATGTTTTTCGAATATTCTGAGCCGCTGGCTGGGTATTCAAGCTGAGATCCCTCTTGTAGCTCAGAACTAGCAGCATCTTCGATCTCGTCAGTGGCGACCGGCGAATGGGCAGGGCTGAAGCCATGGCCATCCTTAGTACTAGGGGCTTCATGAACAGGCAGAAGTGGCTCCACATGATCAGAACTCGAAGATCGGGATCCCCAAAGAGAGGCTGTCACGTCTTCTGCACCAGGGACATCTTCGTGGGTAGGGCTAGCAATATATTCTTGCGTAGGGTTTTCTGAATAGCATGGGCTGGCAACTTCCACATCCCTGGACCAATTCGAAGGCTCCTCCGATGCGCGCGTATCTCCCTGTTCAGGACTGTGAGACGACACCCTTGTCCGAGGACCATTTGCAAACTTTGAGTTATGATCATCAAAATATATAAGCGTCGTAAGAGGAGACCTGCTAACATGTGCGGTTCCATCTGGGCCCACGTGAACACGAAGCAGCACCACGTCTAGGATTGAGAATACCATGGCATGGAAGTTCTTTAGTCCCTGCTTGAGACCAGCTTCCACAACTTCGGTAATGGAGGCCTCTTCGACCTCGACCATATCCAGTCTAGTAGCCAAGTATACAAGGACATTTCTGAGCCAGTATAACTTGCCTCCGGGTGCTGAGCCCGACTGAACGCCCGGGAGGTGACACTCGTGCAGAAACTGTGGAAGAACAGTCGGCAGATAACAGGGCGAAGCCAATTCAGGGGAGACATCGTGCCGAGCCAGGTAATAGCCTTCTGCCTTATGGTTCTGGTCCAAGCTCTGAGCGCATTCGAGAGTCATTTCACCAGCAGCGATGGACAGTATGGAAAAAGCTATCTCTCTGAATGAAAAACAACTGGGATCCCACTCCGGAAGATAGGCATCCAGGACAGGTCGATACCTATTGTCCATGCGCGTGAAAGTGGCAGCCAGTAATGACTCGCGTGCATCCGTGATGTCTCCCTGGTCGTAGAATGTTCCCAGCGGAGCGACCTGGATGTCCAAGTGGCCATACCTATCTCTGGAGGCATTGTTCACCTCCGGCTTCCAGCAAATATTGGCGACTACCCCTTCAGGGGTGCACCGACCAGCTGCCCGACGGCGTCGGCTATCTACTCCAAGATACCTGATCCAATCCCCTGAATGGGGAAGTCTGGCTAGGTAGAGATGAAGAGAGTTGTCAACCGACAATACCTCCCGGTCTAGATCGAGGGTGTAGGCCCATTCGATATTCCACGCATTCATCAGCTCCGGGACCACTGTCTGTAGCGGGGGCAGTTCTAGTCGGTCATCGACGGCCCAGAAGCTGTGTTCGTACCGCTCTTTCAGAGCCACGCTCGAGTATTCCTCTCGGGTGCTTTGAACCTTAACTGGGAGAACTTGTGTCTCGAACTGCTCAACAAGTCGAGCATAGGCTGTTCGCATGAATCGGAGCCATTCTAAATAGTTGTTAGCGAAAGCCGTGTGCAGATATGTAGCCAGAGTGATTGACTTGCCTTGATATTTTTCAGGATCTTCAGGTATTTCATTCACGATGGCGTCGCCCAATCCCTCAGGGTAGCTGTCGAATTGGTTGTAATAGACGAAGTATCTTCCACGGCAGCGGATATAAACGAGGCCCCGGGTTCCCATGGTGGTTGCTTGAACGACCAGGAGATGAAAGGAGGGAAACTTAGTTGAAGGCTGGAGAAAACACGAGTGAGAGAAAGTGTAGACGGAGAGGTCACAAGGCTGGGAGGTATTAAAGGGAACAGGCGGGGTGAGAGGTGGGAAGCCAACTAAGTACTTTAAGTACATGCGGATGGCAGCCCGTTTTGGAAGCCACCCTAATCTATTCACTCGATACGCGCGCGCGTAGATGAGACACTGCAAAAACGCAGATTTACGGTATTTTATGGTGGTGTTTGGCTGATGTTGATTCTGGCATCTTTGCGAAGAAACAGGCCACGACTACTCATTGAAGGGAGGGTGCAGCAATAACAACAACAATGAGATAGGCATTTACCGTGGAAGCATCCGATGCCTCGGAGACGCCGCGGAGCTTACCTACTTAGCAAACGGAGACATCCAGTAACCTGGTACTCGTCCACCAACCGAGGAGGCTTCGAGTTAGCATCGTCACTGAGTTCAATCATTTCTCTAACTTTCTACCAACTTTCTACCTGGTGAAACGAAACCAATAGCAGTACGACCTCCAGTTTATAATACAACTAAGAACACCGGAATAAGCTACTTTATCAGTGCCGAATATCTATGGCCATCCGGGTTACCAGCTCAAGGTCAAAGAGGACTACATGAATCCGGGGAAAGCATATCCGTTCAAATATGTCGTAGATCTGTAGAGGAGCCCACTAAGATACTAGGATATGATCTTAAAGATAAATAACAGGTTATGTTATTCTGTGAAATTACTCCACATTCCCACTTCCGCCCGCATTTCAAACTGCCAATTGTTCCGCGATCAAACATGGCACGTGCGGGCCGATCTATACCAGTCCACAGAGGGGTAGCGGCTCCAGATTCTCTTCCATTCAACCCGTGTCCTCCATGAAATTCAGATTGGAACAGTGGATGTGAAAACTAAGCAACCGGATGGCTGCTACAAGAGAACGTCTTCGCCTTCAGCGGGATCCCATTCATAGAATATACTTATTGCTGCTCTACCACAGCATACAGTCAGATCTAGGCTTCAGAGATCTTCGCTGCTTAGCAGATAATCACTAACTATACAGGCCAATGGATACATCCAAGATGTATAAATGACTGCTCTGAGGTTCATGTTGTTTTTCTCGATTGTCAGCCTCAGCCGCGGGATGTGTTTGCGGATGGTGGATCTGGATTACGGAGAGCCTTACGACGCGGGGCTGATCATTATTAACCACTTCGAGCACGCCCTCAGCGACGGCGGGGCCCCAAAATAGCAAACATTGGCCTTACGGGCTGACTTGCCAACTCCAAGCCATTCAATGCGCTTGCTTTTGCAGACCCTTGACCTGGTTCGCGCTTGCGTAGGAAACTTTGCAGGGCCCCGGTGTTCCGCCTCGGCAGGTGATCCTGGGGCAGTATGGGCAGTGGGTGCCGGCCTTCATTGGCGCAATCCCTATCGGGGGGCTTCTTAGTGTTCCAAAGTATCTCCATTGCAACCAGGCACCCCCAATCCAAACAGACCAATTACGGGCCATAATTTAACCCTGACGGGCTGATACTTCAGCCTTTTTCCTTGGGATCAGCTCCCCTTTGCCAGCCTGCTAAATATAAAGTCTAGATTGTCGGTCCCGTCCGTCGGAGATCTGTCCTAAATGCCGTGTTCACGACGCCGTCCACCGAGACAAGACCCGCATAACAACTCAACATCTGAGCGTGTGCACCATAAAAGATCGAAGAAGATGGTGGCCGAACATCTTACCATTCGCAATCTCACATCTACACCTATCACACTGAAGCGCATTGAGCGCTTCCGTGCCCCCGATAGATCGCTTGGCGTTCAAACCTTTGCGAAGAATTTCACACGGGTCTTGACCAATACGACCCGTGCGAACACTCCAGTTGCTGCAGTGAATGATGATACGAAGCCTTTTGCCGAGAAAGACGTTGACATTCATGTCGCGCCCTTCGAGTCGGTCCAGACAGAGCTTCGCTCGTTCATCGAGTCTGAAAAGGAACGATTGCGCTGGTTCTTTGAGGTGGAAGGAGAAAGGCATCAAATCCAGACCCCAGTGCCCACCACCGAGACTGCTACCATGAAGGCGCTGTGTGATAACCCCAAATTCAAGCTCACGGGTATCTACATCACAGCTGCTTCTCATCTCACGATCTTTTCCTCGGCAAATTTGAATGCCTGGATGGGCGAGCTGAAGGACGACACCTTGCTCTCCTCTCTTTCAATTCCAGGCACGCACAACTCCCCAACCTGCCATGTTGCAGCACCCTCAGTTCGCTGCCAAGCCGTCAGTCCCAGGGAACAGCTCAGGAACGGGGTTCGATTCTTTGATATTCGTGTGCAGCCTCAATATCCGGAAGATACGTCGAAAGAGGAGCTTATCCTCGTACACAGCGTCTTCCCCATTTCACTAACCGGCAACAAGTACTTCCGGGATTTGATGCACGAAGTGAACGATTTCCTTGAGCAAAACCCCTCCGAAACGCTCATCATCTCTCTCAAACGTGAAGGTCCCGGAAATCACACCGACGAACAGCTGAGTAGAATCGTCAACGACCACTATGCCCGTCCCGGGAGCAGATGGTACACGGAACCAAAGATTCCCACCCTAGGCGAAGTACGTGGAAAGGTTGTCCTTGTCCGTCGGTTCGAAATCCTTGAACACCTGAAAGACATCCATGACGGCAAAGGATGGGGTATTAATGCCAGTGGCTGGGCCGATAATTGCGCCAGTGCTACCTGCCCCAGTGGGCAGCTTTGCATCCAAGATTTCTACGAGGTCATGGAGACCACGAACATCGACAAGAAGATCGAATATGTGACAGAGCAGTGTGGGCGCGCATGCAAGACTCGGTACCCATTCGGGGTACTCCCAGGACCCTTGGCCACGCGAGCCCATCCGTTCTACATCAACTTCCTGAGCGCCAGCAATTTCTGGAAGGTCGAAACTTGGCCTGAGAAGATTGCCGCCAAGCTGAACCCTGCGACTGTTGAGTATCTGTGTAGGAAGCATGGAGAGGGTGATGGTGATTGGTCCACTGGTGTCCTTGTTACAGACTGGGTAGGCTTGGATGGTGACTGGGATCTTGTACGATGCATTGTGGGTATGAATTCTCGGCTGCTGCATAGACAGTTAATGCATGCAGAGCAAAGCAATGGCAACCAATAAGGAGGGCTGGTTGGAAATGAAAGAGAGGACTGTCCGGTTGCGCTTCAATCCCGCTTCGAGTCCCTTTTTTTCTAAAATCGTTCATAGAACCGCACTGTGAGTCGGTGACTGACTCAACAAAAGGCATACATGGGCTAGGCATCAATAAATTAATAGCTGTATACTCAACGTAGGCCACGATGGCAGGTTTATAAGCGGACAATACAGCCAAAAGGAGTATGTATGTATTTGTAACCTAGAACTATGACTCCGGTTCTAATGAAACTTCATGTGCTAAAACAATCATGGTCTTGAAGGGTAAAATGAAACAAAAAGGGAAAAGGGGGGAAAAGAAAATACACGCGACATTTTATTATACATGGCAAGCCAGGCGAGTTCAACAGCCTTAGGCAGTTCAAGCAGAGTCACCCTTGTTCTCATCCTCGGATTCCTTCTTCGGCTCCATATCCTGCTTTCTGCTCTCAAGCGTAAAGTAAAGGCTCTTTCCAGCACCCTCCAAAGCATTCGTAATGCTGGATCCCATGCTCTGCAGAGCCATGACGAGCTGTGAGCGCAAGCCATCCATACCACCCTCGATGCTAGTGACCCACTTGGACTGCTCGACATCGAAGACCTGTCCGTCCATACGAGCAGCAATCAAAGACAACTTGTTCAGACCGTTCTGAACAGGGAACTCATGCCAGCCCGGGTTAGCCTTCCGCGTAGGCAAAGGAAGACCGATCGACTTAGGAGCCAGGACCTGCAGGGCGGCCTTCAGGTGTTCGGGGGAGACGTGGGGGATGGTGAGGACGGCCACAGGTCCAACCAGAAGCTCCGACAGCTCATGTTTGCCCTTCATGGACAGGACGGCATCATGAGCGGCGCGGGAGAGATCATGGGAGAGGGTAGGGTCATCCCGGGAAGCGGCAAGAGGGATTTCGGCCGATGTTTGCGTGGCAGGGTCGACGGCTCTGGGGACCGGGGTGGTCTGATTGGGACGGAAGTATTCCACGATGCGAAGGGCGACTTCGAAAATGCGCGTCTGGACAATCTGGACCTTGATGTGCGGAGCCAGTGCTGGGGCCTTCCGGCCCTCCGAGGCAATCTTCTCATCCACCTTCTGCATGGCTGCGCTCAGCTCTCGGCGGATAGCGGCCCACTCGACCGATTGGAGGTTGTCGTGCTGCAGGAAGACCATGAGAGGTGTGGTGCGGATGATGGAAGTGTATTGCCGAAGGAGCTGGGACCGGCGGTATTCGGGGTTGCGGTGCGAGGGAGGCTGCGTGGGAGGGTAGTGGGCGATGGGAGCGGGGGAGTGTGTCATCTGCTCGATTGATGCAGCCGGAGTCGTCGCGGTGGCTGCGGTGCTGGCATATCTGGCAGCAATCGGGAGTTCATGCTGGTAAACGACCCTTTGTCGGCGGACCGACTGAGTGATGCGGCCGCTGGAGATGCGGACGCGAGGCGGCATTGTGGAGGTTGGAAGAGGAGTTTCGGGGATAAAGGCCAATTGGACGTGAAGCAGTACCTCGAGGAATTGGGGACCGGGCGAATACCTCCAAGACCGTGAATTTGGCGATGCCGGCGACAAGAGCAGCGTGCTGGAGGATGTCCGGCTGGACGAAAATATGGCACGAAATCTTGACTTCCCAAAACAGATTAGCCGGGCTGGCAGGCGGTGGGGATTCTGCCGGGAGCAAAGATGACTCTTTGTTCTGCGGTCAGCGGGCATCCGACCGAAGTCCGAATCTTCCCTCCGTTTCATGCAGCTAAGCGTGGTAGCTCGGTGAGTGAGTTGTGACTCATTGCTTATATAGGAGCGTGCGCGATTCCATTCTTTGGGCTAACATTCAAACCAAAGGCAAAATGTCCGCCTCAACTCACGACCAGAAACCGCAACATGTCTCCATTTCACCCCTCCTCAAGAGACTCGCCTACCCCGCTACGGAACGCCGGGTCGAAGCTTCGGAGATTGCCTCAGCATTCGCGCTGATCTTTGAAGACGGAATTTCGCATATTCAGACAGCAGCGTTACTCACGCTTCTGCATTCTACGGGATTGGACCGCGATGCTGAAGTCATTGCCAAGTGCTCGCACCGCATGCGTGAGGCCGCTCGCCAGGTCGACCGGCCTACGCTGAAGGCTGCAATCAAGTCGCGGGTAAAGCAAGAGGGAACCTACAGGGGTGGTCTGGTGAGTGCTTTTTGGTTCACCTGTAGCTCAATTAGATCATACAGCTGACGTCTGCAATGCTTCCCTAGTGCGATATCGTTGGTACCGGTGGAGACATGCATTCTACCTTCAACATTTCCACAACCTCTTCGATCATTGCCTCCCCTCTCCTCATGACCGCCAAACATGGCAACCGGGCACAGACCTCTTTCTCCGGATCCGCCGACGTCCTGAATGCCATTACTCCTGTGCCCCCGAAGATCGGCGCAATTAACGCTGAAAACCTTCCCCAGGTCTATGCAGAGACCAACTACTCCTTCCTGTTTGCTCCCAACTTCCACTTCGGCATGATGTACGCCGACCCTGTTCGGCGTGGACTTGGACTTCGGACAATTTTCAACTTGATGGGACCCCTTGCCAACCCAGTCGACTGGGCTATCGAGGCGCGTGTTGTTGGTGTGGCCTACCAGAGCTTGGGTCCGGTGTTTGTGGAGGCATTGCGACAGAACGGATGCAAGAAGGCGCTTGTTGTTTGCGGTGAAGAAGACTTGGACGAGATCAGCTGCGCAGGGAAGACAAACTGCTGGCGACTATCGGAATATCCTAACCCCGCGTACCAAGGGTCCCAGGAGGATGATTGTTCGTGCGATGAGGAGGAACATCCCCGCACCTTGGTCAAGATGGAAATGTTCCAATTGCACCCGTCTGATTTTGGCCTGCCGACTCACCCGCTGTCCGACGTTGGCGGCAAAAAGATGCCCAAGGACAACGCAGCCACGCTGATGAGCATTCTGCGGAATGAGTTGCCTCGGGATGATCCCATCCTGAGCTTCGTCCTCTTGAATGTGGCTGCCCTCCTGACGGTGTCGGGTATCTGTGAGGCAGATACTAGCAACATGGGACCTGGCGACGACGGTCAGGTCATCACCGAGCGCGGCCCTGGTGGCGGGCGCTGGAAGGAAGGTGTCCGGCGAGCTCGCTGGGCCATTGAGAGCGGCGCTGCTCTCAAGTCCTTTGAGCATTTCATTGAAGTCACGAACCGGCTTTAGTTTATCACAAAGCTGGTCATTTCACTAACCACTCATTCCTTTCTTGATTCTCGGGTTTTCCTATGGTTAAAAGTATAGGCCAACTTGTTGAAAGAACAACAGTATGGCTATAATTTTTTCTGGGTAGTAGTGAATACTTTATGATACCGTGACCATCGAAACGAGTACTGTTTACGACAACTGAAGTTCGAGTAATGAATCTATGAACATAGCTGAAATAATTGTCCGGACCAAGGAAGGAGAGGTATTTCCTTACATCACTTGACAATAATCCACTCGCCCATCTGCTCCCAACTCTCCACTCATACCTCCCACCCCCATCAAGACAATGATTTTCACAAATAATATATGACGACAAAAGCAAACTCCAAGCGCCACCAAATGCACCCACCCCATCATAAATGAGTCAAACAAGCAAACTAGGCCCGCAAGCCCAGCGCAACCCAAATTCAGACTTTCTATTCGATCACCGAGCCTCGAACTGAACCATTCTGCACATCGCAAGGTAAACCAGTTAGCATGCATTCATTCAAACTCATCCTCACACCTCTCCTCCCGAATTCCCTTCCTTCTCTCCGTAACATACACCCCAGGGGAAAAAAAGAGAAGAAAAGACCAACCTCTTCGTCCGCTCCTTATACAAAACGCGATGACCGCACTCCTTGCAGCGAATCTGATCTCCCCTCTTCAGAGAAACACGAGAGTTGCACTCGCCGCACAGGTACGCGACGACAGGGCCGTCCATGGGACCACCGGCATCACCGAAGGCGTTCTGGGCGCCGCCGCCCAGGTTGGGGACTTGGTATTGTTCGCGGGACATGGTGGATTGTAGTGTAGTAACTAGTTTATCGGGTGGCCGGGTTCTGCAAGGTGGTGTGTAGAGAGGATTTGGTCGGTGCGGTTGGGAGGTAGAGTGGGCGTGGGATAGATGATGATGGAAGGTTTGGGTGGTTTGGTTTGTTCTGGAACTTTTTTGCGTTGGAGGTTCGTTGCTTGATTGGGTTAGGCTGGGTGGTTGGCTGTGGTAAGAGTTATGTTTGTGGATAAGTTGGGTTTGGTGGGATGTTAGTAAGCGGTTTGGGTTGTGCAGGGGTTTATGCATTTTATGGTATTCCGGGACCATAGCTATTTTTGAGAATTCAGTCGATTATTATCAGGATGGAGATTATATACAGTGCATTTGTCATTGGCATGGGGTACGACTGATTGCTCAGTGATTGGGACGCAGTCATCTATAAGACACAACGTACATCTCCAACGACTTATTGTATTGCCACCAAGATTCAACATGGTATCTCTCTATATAATGTGCAGTCCAAATGCGCAGACTGTTGTCCCGATGAAGAAAATGCACGCATGGCTCATGTCATCCAAACATCACAGGGTATATGTCATAAGAATAATGAAAGAAAACAAACGAATCTACCAACCGCCACCAATCTTCCCAGCAAGCTCAGCAACGCGAGTTGTATCGGTCGCAGCAGGCTGGGATTTGCCGACATCACTCTCAACCTCGCGATATGTGGTATAGGCAAGCTTCGAGAGCGGGATGCCCATGGAGTCAGACCAATAACGCATGGCATTGTGAATTTTGTCTTCTTTGTCAAGAATAGATAGCGGCTGCGACTGGCTTCCGGCTTCTGACTCGGTGTCCGACTCCGCAGAATAATATGCCTCGTCTACACGGGCAAGCCAAGCGCGTTGCTCATGTGGTGTCGGCTTCGACGATGAGTCGGGCACTTCAGCCGACGTTGAGGACTGCACGCTCGAGCTGGCTTCGCGAGCATCTTCAATGCGTATCTGGCCTCCTCCATTAGTACAGCCTCCAGGGCATGCCATGACTTCTACATAAGCGTAGTCTGTGCCAGAGCTACCGGACGCGGCGCCCCGTCCGACTGGCAGTCGTCGATTACCGCCTGGAAGTCGAGAAGCCCGTGCTGGTTTCAGCTTGCGGACGAGATTCTGAATATTGCGGAAACCGTAATAGCGAGCGGCTTTCAGAATAGGCGTGTGCTCAGACGACATGAGCGTGTACTCGACCACATCCGCATTTCTTCCACGCTGAGTCACGATCTCACTGCCTGGATTACGCGCTTGGAAAGTCTGAAGCACGTGGTGAAGGTAGCCTCCGGATGTACCTGCGGCAGCTGATTGTCCCGGGGAAGACTTCGAAAATAGAAAGTCGTTTAGAGTCATATCGGGAAATGGCGGGATATAAGACTGAGGAAGTGATTTCAACGGTAGGTTAGGAAGGGAAATGCCTCTGGAAGAAGCCAGACTAAGCATTTCGCGCGTAGTGATCACGCAATCAACGTCACGGACGGCTGTATGGTCTTCGTCCTTCGCAGACAGCCATGAAGCATCAGTGAGCTCCTCGCGACTGGCTTCAAGCTTTTTGTCGAAGCAAGGCATGACGGCCAAATGCCAAATGCGAGAGGCCGGTATCCCAAGTGATTTGCTGAGGACAGTCTTGAAGAACGTGCCAGCCAGGGCTTGCGGTGACTTGAGGCGGGACAGATGTGGCAGAACAAATGGATGTGTCTTCTCAGCATAGCATATCCAACCCGGGCATGCGGACGAGAGGATCGGTCGCTTGGGGAGAGTATTGGTTGCGCCGTTAGTACTAGGAGAATCTGGACTGGTCGTCAATGTCTCGCCAACTTCGTCCGCTGTAAGAACCAACACAGCCTCACGAAGGACATTGGTGTCAGCTACCCATGTGAAGCCGCTGCCATTCTTGCCTCCAGCCCTTAAACCGTGAGGACCGCTGAGAAACTGGTGGATCATGTATGTTGCTTCCTTCTCCGTGATCCCATAGGTTGCTGCTAGACTTGCCCTCACTTGAGGGCTGACACTTGCGACGAACACTCGGCCTTCGTCACTCGCCGTGCCCAGCTCCTGTGTAATTGTCCCATCTTCACGGTTCAGTGGCAACTCGGGATGCGCGTCCAAAGTATTGAGGACTTCTGCATGCGATTGCAACGAGATGAGCACGGCCTCGGCCGAAGTGACACATCCAGAGCATGCGAGGCAGTCAGTTAGCGAGATTTGAGCCGGTGGAAGATTTTCTGGTTGCACTTTGTCTTCTGTGGTCACCTCATAGGGATTCTGATAGATTATAAATCAGTGCTCATTCATTGGATGAAGTGGGGTACAAGCAGAGTAGAGGTCAAGCACTTACGTCTGTTTTCGAGGGATCTTTCGCAGGGAGAGTTTCCACAGGCTTGATACACGCAACTCCGGGGGAAATGAAGTCGTTCAGATCGTCTGCAGATAGAATTGCACTCATTGTAGCGGCAGCTGAAGACTCCTAGGTGAATGAGCAGGTATTGCAGCGCCACTCCGCAGCGGGCTCAGAAGTCTGCGCTGCAACTCGGACCGTGGTAATTTAGCAATGTGAAGGCTTCGACGTCAAGTTCAAAGCAATGTGCAAGACCTCTGTGTGCATGGATTAAGAGAGCAGGTAGAAGAAATGCTACAGTGACACTGATCGAAAGAAAGACAAATGCTTTGTCATCTGCAGTGGCGACGAACTCTGATGTTACTGGATGCTTATCGGCAGCCCCGCGATCGGCGATGATAAGTTGACCGCCTTTTGGCACCGCCCGCCAGATACTCGTGTTCTGCCGCTCGTTCGTGTTGCCCCTCGGATTTCCATTTGCCTGGCCGCTCACTAGGCACCTGGTACTTACTTTCAGCCTTGCTGCCTAAGTCCGCTCTTACCGTCAAGTCATGCGACGCGCTACATTAACAAAGTATAGCCAGATCAATCTCACATTGAACTTACATTGTTTTACAGCAGGCGGCATCTCTGAAGATGAGCCAAAAGACATTACCGGACTACTTTCGACCGGTCAATGTGCGACAACGGCCTATTTCCGGAGCCGATAGGAGAGCAATACTGAGAGCAACCGCGGAAGAGACTCAAGCCCTTCTCCCTGGCATTTTAAGTACGGTGCCCCGGGCACCTCCGACAGCACAGTACTGTCCCCGCATCAAATATGCTACTTTGAACCCAAGGTTCAGCCCAAAGCTATCAACCCATGTCGAAGTCATATTTGGAGATACGCTCGACATCGCCATTAGGGTTAACAGCTCATCCAGGCAATTCCGGCAGACTGACACACGGAATGTGTGCGTTCTGAATATGGCCAATGAAAGGAATCCAGGCGGCGGTTGGCGTAATGGAGCTATGGCTCAGGAGGAGGCTCTTTGTTATCGAAGCAGCCTCAGCTCCACCCTTAAACACCGATACTATCCGATAGGAGAACGAGATGCCATCTATTCTCCATCCGTCGTTATCTTCCGTGAAAGTTTCACACGAGGTCATGGGCTGATGGACCTGCAGAAGCCTGAGAATCTCCCTATTGTGAGCGTTATCAGCGTTGCTGCCCTGGAAGGACCAGAGGTGGACTATACGGCGACTCCACCGACTTTTAAGTTTCGTTCTGATCGAGAACTGACCAAAGACAAGATGCGATCTATCCTCCGCATTGCAGGGTATAAGAAGCATCGGAGAATTGTTTTAGGAGCTCTAGGTTGTGGTGCATTTGCGAACCCAAATGTTGACGTTGCGCAATGTTGGTCCGAGGTCCTGCGGGAAACTGAATTTCAGGGATGGTGGGAGAAGATTGTATTTGCGGTTTTAGATGACATGTCCAAAGTTGCCCAGGGTGACAGCAATTTTGATGTCTTCCGGGAAAGGCTGCACGGACTGAAGGTATGAACAGGTAAACTAGGAAAAGTGGTATATAATATTAGATAAAGAATCAGTATAATAATGAGCGGAAGGTCGCATCTTCTAATACGTCGCTAAGATGGCCACAATAATACAACAGTCGGAATCCCCTACTTTCGAAGTCGGTCCGAGCGTCTCCTGGTAGTTTGCTGTTCTTCTATCGGCTTAGTCTCTGTCTCATCGATGTCTTCCTTCTTGACAGAAGTTCTGCTTTGCCTTTTGGGCCCGGTCTTCTTGGGCTTCGTATCCTCTTCGCTAGCTTCCGGCTCGCTCTCCTCCTTTTTCACTGAAGCCCGCTTTCGCTTCGAGTTTGCCGGCGCATTGCTGGCGTCTTCACTGCTGACGTCCTTGGCTACTGGCCCAGTTTTTTTCTGCACACTCGGAACCACTGCGCTGGTCCTGCCCCCTACCGTGAGAAAGGTAATCTTTTCTCCGTTTGGCAGCACTGATGGCGTGTTCTTCTTGCCTTTACTCCACCGATGTTTGAACAGCCAGTCAGCTGGAAATTTCTCCGAATCTGCTAGAAGCTCTACGGAGGTGGAACAGATATAATGTATCGCTGAGTGCAGCTCTCTAATCTGGTCGTCATCCAAAGTGTTGCTGTATTGCTCAGGGTGTATTTTAGCTTGGTAGAGGATCTCATCGCTAGAAATCAGTCAGCTAGATGTAATCAGTCATGGTGGGAGACTGAAGGAGCATACCCCATCCAGTTGCCTATTCCGCTGATATTCGCTTGATCAAGGAGCAGCGCCTTCACAGGTACCTTCTTGCTTCGGAGCTTCTTTGCCAGCCACTCCTCCGACACAATGTCTTTATCGGCGACAGGATCTGGGCCATTCTCTTTCAGAGGGCTGTAGTTACGGATTTCCTCCGCGGGACAGTCTACCAGGCGTATTCTGCCCAGTCGGCGAAAGTCAACAAAAGCAGCTTCTGTCTTTGGATCTCCCTCGGTTTCGAGCAAGAATTTCCAGTATTTTGGCGGCCACTCCTTATCTCCAGGTTTGTCTGTCCGGTAGTAATAGGTGTCGGCATCCCGGATTTTCAGCCAGCCCGCCATACCGAAATGCATAACCGCATGGGGTGGTGATGACATAGCAATCCAGAAGTACTTGCCCTGCTGTCCGGCACCAGTAACTTTCTTCCCCTCCATTGCCTTCTGAAACTCGGCAGCAGTAGTACCGGCTTTGCCGTAGATAATGTCATCGTTTTGCACTGACACCTTGGAAAGCGTTTTGCCGACAAGATGTTGACGAAGGAAATGGACTATACGCGAGACTTCCGCTAGCTCCGGCATGGTGTTCGATGTTGACAGTTTCTGTCGCAAAATGGAATAGGATGGCGTGGATTCTTACCCCTTCAAATCAATACTCGCTCCAGAATAGCCTCAAGAAAGTGTATAGAGTCAATTCAATGAAATAACGCGGCTCGAGCAGAGGCTGAATCAGAAAGTCGTGGCGCGCGTCGACCATCACGTAGTCCCGTGATTTCAGAATGCTAACCTATTCTGGTAATATACTAGGATTCCAAGAGCGAAATACGGCATGCCAGCCGAACCTCGTGGGAACTTTAACATTGGCTTGTTGAAGTCATTGCATTACTTCTCTGTTAGCCCCCTGGCACTTTTGGACGTCACTATAGCCCTAGGATAGTCGCCTTGTTCCTCCTTTACCGGAGCAGGATAGTTGTTATCAGGACTTCATCTCTGCAGTCATACGATCCGCTGGCCGCGGTTCCATATTGTACAGCTGCCAAGGTGGAGTGGTTCTGGACGAATACTTCCAGGTCAGAGAGTGACTCTGGAAAGGTGGAGGACAGGAAAATGTCTCGAGCATCGTCAACGTCAGCTCCTCAGCTGACTCCCCAATTTTGTTTCAACGAGAGGTTGCTTAGAGGTATGCTCAGCTACGACCACCGTCAAGTCCACGGAGAGTAACTGCGCGGGGACTGACCCGGGGTATCCTGGCTGCGGTACAGATTTTCTACGAATTTCTAGATCGACCATTGATGATTCCATCACGCAAAACCTCAATGCCTTGTTCACCCCAGCTCGACAAGGATTCGATCCCTCTTCCACAGCTATCCGACAAATAGACGCCAGTGAAGGAAAGCAAATCGAACCAGCTGCCTGCCAGAGCTTTAAGGATAAGGTTTTGTTTCCATCATGGCAAGTCCGTTCGGATGTGCTCAACTATTGCGCCGGGGTGGCCACAAGTCCCGACCCGGAAGACCCGGATCTCATTCTGCAACAGACCGAATCTGCGGAGGATCGCGAGCATATTGTCGATGATCGTTTAGACCCATATGCGGCCCGGTTTTTGCCTCGAGAGGCACGGACTGAGTCGTTGGCCAACCTTGTCCGTACTCAACGGGGGGTCGAAGAAATTATACGCGCGCGCACATGGGGTCTGGTAACGGAAAGGTGTGGTGGCCCGTCCGAGGGCTGGGAAGAGGCACTTAACAAATGGCGTGAGAATAAACAACGAGAGCAGGCGCCACCGTCGACAGAGTGATTTGATCTCTGGGTCGAGTAGTAGTCACCGCATCGGTTATGGTTGAAGGCCTCCACTCCTTAGAGGTATCGTTTCCAGCTGCATATTGTCTGGTTACTGACCTGATTTGATGAGACTGGACATGCTATGTATATGATGTTGTAAGATAGCTGCATATAACAGGCGTTTCTTGGTTGGACCTGGGAGCCCAGGCGGGATGTGTAAATCAAAACATGAACTTGGCTCGAATCGCGTACTCTACCGTTTGTTACAATTAACATAACAGACCAGACCAGACCAGACCGTATGCTGTGAATACCCATTAGCGATGTAACTTGCCGACAATTGGGTGCATATGGAGGGTAAGTATCAGGGCTGCCAGGTTGCATCTGCAGGCCGCTTCGGATAATAATTTCGTCTGGTGCCGGGCAGCCCTCGAGGACGGCGGTCGGCAAGAACCTTCGAGTAAAAGCGATCGTTTGATCATACTATTTAAGCCGCTCGAACGGGTGAACCAGAGGATTGGATAGGGGCCAAGTATAATTTCAACATCCCCTAGGACGTGCATACTGTCGGAGTGTTGGTCATAGCTTATCGCTGCCTGATCGACTAATCGTCGTCCATCGTCATTCCTCCCCCGCGCACTTCGAGCTTCCGTCTTCGCACAGTCACTTGGCAAGTCCTTCACTGACCACCACCGGCCAACCACACTCACCATGCCGCAACCATTGAACTCCAAGGATGCGTCCTTGTTCCGCCAAGTGGTTCGTCATTATGAGAACAAGCAACACAAGAAGGGTGCGTTTGCGATCTCGATTGGACACGCTGGAGGTCTCCGCAAGTGGGCAGGAAAGCTGACTATGCTATGTTCCGAACAGGTATCAAGACCGCCGAACAGATCTTGAAGAAGAACCCCAACCATGGTGATACCTTGGCGATGAAGGCTCTTATTATGAGCAACATGGGCCAGCAGGAGGAGGCTTTTGTGCTGGCCAAGGAAGCCCTGAAGAACGACATGAAGTCGCACATCTGCTGGCATGTGTACGGATTGCTGTATCGGGCGGACAAGAACTACGAAGAGGCAATCAAGGCATACCGGTTTGCATTGAGGATTGAGCCGGACTCACAGCCCATTCAGCGGGATCTTGCGCTGCTGCAAATGCAGATGCGCGATTACCAAGGCTACATTCAGAGCAGGAAAGCCATGCTGCAGGCTCGCCCGGGATTCCGCCAGAACTGGACTGCTCTCGCGATCGCACACCACCTTTCTGGGGATCTGGAAGAGGCCGAAAAGGTTTTGACGACTTACGAGGAGACGCTAAAGATCCCCCCGCCAACTTCGGATATGGAGCATTCCGAGGCCGTTCTGTACAAGAACGTGATCATGGCTGAGGCCGGCAAGGTAGAACAGGCACTGGAACATCTGGAGAAGGTGGGACACAGAATTTCGGATGTGCTTGCTGTGATGGAGATGAAGGCGGACTACCTTCTGCGACTGGACAGAAAGGCCGAAGCGGAGGCAGCGTACATTGCGCTTCTGGACCGGAACCCGGAGAACTCGCTCTACTACGATGCCTTGGTCCGGGCGAAGGACATCCCTAGTGATGACCACAAGGCCAAGAAAGCCGTATATGACTCCTGGGTTGAGAAGTTCCCCCGTGGTGATGCGGCTCGCAGAATCCCCTTGGACTTCTTGGAGGGCGATGACTTCAAGCAGGCCGCCGACGCCTACTTGCAGCGCATGCTTAAGAAGGGTGTTCCCTCACTGTTTGCCAACATCAAGTCACTGTACAGCAACCCCGTCAAGCGTGACACAGTGCAAGAACTGGTTGAAGGCTACGTCGCGACGACGCCCCGGTCGAATGGCTCCGCGGAAGGTCAGTCCGGCGCCGACAACACTGAGTTCCTTTCTTCCTCCTACTACTTCCTCGCTCAGCACTACAACTACCACCTCAGCCGCGACTTGTCCAAGGCCATGGAGAATGTCGACAAGGCCCTTGAGCTATCGCCCAAGGCTGTGGAGTACCAATTGACCAAGGCCCGGATATATAAGCATTACGGAAACCTCGAGAAGGCGGCTGAAGAGATGGAGAAGGCCAGGCTGTTGGATGAAAAGGACCGTCACATCAACTCCAAGGCTGCCAAATATCAACTCCGCAACAACGAGAACGACAAGGCTCTTGACAATATGAGCAAGTTCACTCGTAACGAAACCGTTGGTGGAGCTTTGGGTGATCTACATGAGATGCAATGTGTCTGGTACCTGACCGAGGATGGCGAGGCCTACCTGCGCCAGAAGAAGCTCGGTCTCGCGCTGAAGCGATTCCATGCTGTCTACAACATCTTTGACACCTGGCAAGAAGATCAATTTGATTTCCACAGCTTCTCCCTTCGCAAGGGTATGATCCGTGCGTATGTGGACATGGTTCGCTGGGAGGACCGCTTGCGCGAGCACCCGTTCTACACCCGGATGGCCACCTCTGCCATCAAGTCTTACCTCCTCCTTCACGACCAGCCCGACCTGGCTCACGGACCCCTGCCCAGCGCCGCTGCTGACAACGACGAGGAACGTAAGAAGGCAGTCAAGAAGGCCAAGAAGGAGCAGCAGCGCCTGGAGAAGCTTGAAGCCGAGAAGCGTGAGGCCAGAAAGGCCGCAAGCACTAAGAACATTGACGGAGAAGTGAAGAAGGAAGACTCTGACCCACTAGGCAACCAGCTTGCCCAGACGCAAGATCCGCTCAAGGAGGCGACTAAGTTCCTGACACACTTGCTGGAGCATAGTCCCAAGAACATAGAGGCCCAGTGTCTCGGATTCGACGTTTACCTCAGGAGAGGTATGTTCGCCCTCTTACAAGTCATTGACATATACTAACCGCAACCCCAGGCAAGCACGCACTTGCTCTCAAGTGCCTCACCGCGGCCCATGCCATCGACGCATCCAACCCCACCCTTCACGTCCAGATCCTCCGATTCCGCAAGGCCCTGGATAGCCTTTCTGAGCCACTTGCGCCCCAAGTAGCTGAGGTCGTCAACACCGAGTTCGAGGCCTTGCTCCCCAAGGGCCAGAACCTCGAGGAATATAACAACACCTTCCTCTCGACCCACAAAGAGAGCGTCTCCCACCAACAAGCCGGTCTTACTAGCCGCCAGCTTCTGAAGCCCGAGTCCAAGCCTCAATGCGAGCAGGACCTCATCGCCACCCTCGACTCCAAGGACATTACCATCGACACTGCCCTGGCAGGCCTAGAGCTCCTGGGTGAGTGGGGAAGCAACCAAGCCGCAAAGTCTGCTTATGTCGAGAAGGCAAGCAGCAAGTGGCCTGAGGCGACGGTGTTCCGCCTCGACTAAAGTGATAGGACAGCTTTTCTTGGACTACTCATATTCAAACTTGCCTTATACTTTGAACCACTGTAACATGATTGGCGGAAAGGACTTTTTCCTTGTCTCATTAGCTTCTTCCTCTTCTCCTTCTCCTTCTCCTTATCCTTACCCATTCTTCTATCCTTAGAATTGATCAGCTACGAATCTGTAGCTGTAGCTGGTTTTTACCTGGGTGTACATATTCACCTGTACTTAAAAAGCCCGGGTATCATGTGGTGTGAGACGAAAACTATACAGCAAAATGCTTTCCGAGATGCATCGAGGCGTACTGTATTAGACATCTGAAATAGAGAATAGCCCACTCAAAACGGTATGTCTGGGGCTAGCTTAGTTGGGAAGCCTTCCACGTGAGAGATGATACTCGATTAGTGTGCTCCTTCAATGCCTGATGAGCCTCTTGTAGGGAGGTTGCATCCTCGAGTGATACATCTACACTAGACATGAAATACCTGACCAGTGAAGATCATCTTAGATTCGACTAATATACAGTTGATAAGGAGATGTCAATAGTTGTTAGTACAAATACCCATACATCCCGATAAAACACATTTCCCATGCAATGATCGTATCGGCCCCAAAATACCAAAGACAAAAAATAAGAATATGTCTATATACCTCTAACCCAAACACGGATAGAGATCTAAGAAACCCTTTCTATTTATGGTGACAATATCCTCCCCTCCCCGTACATCAATCTCGACAAGTGATTTACTCCTCATCAAGGTTGCCCAAGATGGGCTTCCTCCTCAACGTCTCCTCATCCTCTCCGTATCCATACTTCACCCACATGCGCTTCCAGAACGACACAGGAACAGGGCGTTCCTGACCCAGGATGTATTCCTGGCCTTCGAGGATGCGCTGAGCGCGGGCCTCTTCCTCAGGCGAGACGCTGTAGCGATGCATGCGGGAGGCGAGGCGCGGATCGATGACGATGTCGTCGAGCCACTCGCGTTCCTTGTCAGGGTTGGCTTCGTCCTTGCGGTGGACGGACTTATGCCATTCCCTTTCTTCCTCCTCGAGGACGGTCTGTTGTTCATAGGTGGTGTTGCCAAGGGTATCGTCGGAGATGGGGGAGGCATCCGAGGAGACGGAGCCGGTGTTGTAAGGGCGGCTGTATGAGGCCAGGACAATGGCTGCGACGTCGCGGCCTACGCTCTCGGCCATGTGGCGCTGGTTAAGGTAGCGGTAGAGTCTGATGGGGGTGTTGAGGAAACCCAGGATGTGGGGGAAGGCGATGGGAACGGAGCCTGAAAGAGTCTGGGGGATAGTACGCGGGAGGGGTTGCGATGAGTAGTCGGATGTGGAGATGTAAGCTGGTGTCGGTCCCACGGGTTTAGCAGGCTTCTCTTCCTTCTTTTCCTGCTCGGGGGCGTTGGCGTCGCCCTCCTTGGTCTCAGAGGCGGTCTCTGCGGCGGGTGTGCTGGATTCCACAGGAGCGGGATCCTCCGTGGCAGGAGGCGGAGGGGGAGGATCAAGAGGACCCAGCCAACCTTCATGCAGACCGCGAATATACTCCTTCCATGTGTGGCGACCGATGACCAAATCACCCTTCGGTCCGGGCTCCTCTATAACGCCCATCTGCGTCCTCGCGGCGAAAACGACATCTTCGACCGTGGGGTCCTCCACCACCGTACTCGGTTCGCCTGCCTTACGTCTCCACTTGCGAATGCGCTCCGCGTAACCAGCACGGATGTCGCCTTCCCTTCTGCCTTCGATGATTTGGTAGTCTAGTGCCGCTGCCACGAGGATCGGCTTAACGTATTCTTTGAAGTGGTCGCGAGCTACGCGGATACCGTCACCCGGTGGCGCGGACAGGAAGACGTTGATTTTGCGTCGGGTTTGCTCGATGGGAAGATGCTCCTTGGAGATGTGAGCGACGAGATCACTCCATTTTTGTTGCGCGCGGCGCTTCTCTCTCCGGTCGTAAATGACAGCTGCGGCGAACGAGCCGGTGATGGTGAAGAAGATCATCCAATTCCGAGAGGGAAGTTTCATGCGAAGGTTCGGCATTCCTTGAAGACTATTAGGTATAAGGATACTGGCTGAGGGCATTGGGGATCTATACCAAGCATTCTGAAGGCTGGGTTGGAGGGCTTGGGAGCGCTGGTAGACGCTGCGGACTGGGCCGGGCCTGAAGCCGCGGCGGAATTGGAAGACTCCGCCATAGTGTAGGGGGATGAAGGGAAAGGGTATAATAGAATCTGGGGTATATAATAAAGATACAGAAGAATAAAACTTTTGGTACGTAACAGGGAGCAGGAAGCACTCCCTCATGGCATGTCGTGAAGGGAAATGCATGATTGCCGAAAAAGTTCGGGATGCACTGCGCAGCTCCGGTCGGGACGAGGTTTATCCGGAGGCGAGGATGCCGAGTTGAAGCCGGAATCTGGAGGAGCAGCAGATTAACTGACTAGCAGATGCACCCCGGTTGAACTCAGTGCTGCATGCCACGGAAAATAAGTCTAAACAGACCGGATCTCAGATGATCTCCTGGAGTTCTAGATAGCAACTTCTGAATTTGTCAAGCTGGACGAATGTTCTGTAGGAGCCATGATTGGTTTATGCTGTTGGAGTCGACATTCATCATGGCTGAAGCACTAGTATTCTCTTATGGCATTAGTCTATCATAGTGTGGAATACACACACTAGACCTCTATTTTTGGACCCCTTTGAAACCAGTGAAGAACTTGTATAGTGAAGATGAAGATGGTCGCAGCAAATACTCTCTTTGTGAGACAGCATTCGTGGCACCAACCGAGCGCCGTACGAGTCTGGAACATTAAGCATCGGTCCCTTTTTGTAGTTCCCCCTCCTTCCCCCCGTGCTGATCGGACCATCAATTCTTGAGTGGTTGCAGTAGCATCGTGTCTTTCTTTTGGCATCATAGTATCCCCTGTCTCTGACTTCAATTCGGGGCCCTGAACCTGAAACATCAAGCTGGTTGCCCGACAGATAATACTACTAGAGAGGTTACGGGACTTGCCGCCATTGGGGCAGAAGAGCCAGCCAGCCTGTTGTTGTGCCTGGGCCTCTCCACTGCATTTCCCCCCTCTTCTAAGCCAATCTCAGGGACAGCGAGAAAGCGCTCCTGAAAGTGCCTGTCGAAGCCCCTTCGCCTCCTGAGGCCACCGCTCCTTCGGGCTCTTGTTTCCCCCTCCCCCTTGGATTCTTTTCCCATCTCCGTCCCAATTCTTCATCCACTCGTTCTCAACTCCCCCCGCTTTCCCTTAGCCTTCGTTCGGTAGTCGGGGAGGAAAGTTTTCCATCATGGATCCCAACAACAACAACCGACTCCACCTGAATTTCGGGTACAATGATCGTGGTTTCAATGCGGCGGCGGCCAACAACCGCGCCTATCCCACTACCCCCTCCGCCTTCCCCCAGCCGATCTACCAAAACCAGGGTCCCCAGGATTACATGGACGCCCAGAACGGTGCCTACGCTCAAGGTGGTTATTTCATGGCCAATCCTTACCAAGCTCAGGCAGCCTACGGCCAGCCGCATTATGGCCAGAACCTGCAATCCCCTCAGCCCGCCTACCAATCCCGCATGGGTTACAGCGCGAACGATGGCACCAACGGTTTGATCCAGCAGTTCTCGAACCAGGATCTGAACTCCCCTCGCTCGGGTTTCTTTGCTCGTTCTGCCTCGCCAGCCCAGCGACCCCGAACTGCCGGCTCCCCCGCCCCCGGGCAGCAACAGCCAGGCCACCTGGCGCCTCCTATGCCTCGTAGCCCTCGCACCCCCGCGGAGAACGAAGAGTTGCAGCGGTACCCGGAACGTTACTCGGAGAATGTTCACAAGCGTGGCAAGGCAGCCAAGGAGCTGGTCAGCGTCTTCTTCAATGAGAACATTGAGCGCGCACGCGATCGCAACATGCGGTGAGTATTCCACACAATGCCACGGCCCCCCTTCCCAACTCACCAGGGAACCTGGTATCGCTGACCCGGGTGCTTTTTATAGGTCTGCTGAGCTGGACAAGATGATCCGTGAACCCAGTATTCCCAAGGAGAACAAGTGCAAGGACGCAGAGGTGCTTGCTAAGAAGGAATCGAATTTCCTCCGGTTCCTTCGCACCAAGGAGACCCCGCAGAACTTCCAGACCATCAAGATCATCGGAAAGGGCGCGTTTGGTGAAGTGAAGCTGGTACAACGGAAGACCGATGGCAAGATTTACGCACTGAAGTCGTTGATCAAAACGGAGATGTTCAAGAAGGACCAGCTGGCTCACGTTCGCGCGGAACGTGATATCCTTGCTGATTCCAAGGACAACCCGTGGTTGGTGAAGCTGCATGCTTCTTTCCAGGACACTGCCTACTTGTATTTGCTGATGGACTTCTTGCCTGGTGGTGACTTGATGACCATGTTGATCAAGTACGAGATCTTCTCCGAGGATATTACTCGGTTCTATATGGCCGAAATTGTCATGGCGATCGAGGCTGTTCACAAGCTCGGCTTCCTTCACCGGTAAGTACTAGATGCTCGATGCTGCCAGCAGATGCAAAGTTGAAGTTTCACGGGGCGGCAGGTGCTAATTGTTTTTGTCTATAGTGATATCAAGCCTGATAACATCCTTCTGGATCGCGGTGGTCACGTCAAGCTGACGGACTTTGGTCTGTCCACGGGAGGAAAGAAGACCCACGACAACTCCTACTATCAGAATCTGCTGAAGAACTCGACGTCAAAGGACAAGAACCGCAACTCTGGTTACTTTAACGATGCGATCAACCTGACAGTCTCCAACCGTGGCCAGATCAACACCTGGAGAAAGTCTCGTCGTGCAATGGCATACTCGACGGTCGGAACTCCGGACTATATCGCCCCCGAGATCTTCAACGGCCAAGGATACACCTACCTGTGCGATTGGTGGTCTGTAGGTGCTATCATGTTCGAGTGCCTTGTGGGTTGGCCCCCGTTCTGCGCGGAAGACACCACCGACACCTACCGCAAGATTGTGAACTGGAGAGAATGCTTGTACTTCCCCGAGGAACTTACCCTTTCGCGCGATTCCGAGGGTCTCATCCGAAGGTAAGCTTTGTGCACATCATATGCTTATGTATCATGCTAATCCCGGATTAGCTTCCTCTGCGACGCAGAACACCGTATCGGAAGCGATGGCGGCCAATTCGGCGGCGCAACGCAGATCAAGAACCACCCCTTCTTCCGCGGCGTCGTTTGGGAGCAACTGCGCAGCATCCGCGCGCCGTTCGAACCAAGATTGAGCTCGAACATTGACGTGTCGTACTTCCCGATCGATGAGATTCCTCAGGAGGATACGAGTGCCATCCACCGCGCTCAGGCTCGCGCCATGCCGGACGAGCAGGAGGCGGAGATGAGCCTTCCATTTATCGGATACACTTACAAAGCGTTCAACGCCTTCCAGGGAAATTGAAGATACAGTCGACATCCGAGTGTCCTTGTGAACCCACGATAGACGTCATTGAAGAGTCCGACAGCGGGCGGGCTTGCATTGATGGCTTTTCAGTGGCGCATTTAGGTTCTGGTCTCGGGCATCCCCTTGTGCATCAGTTTCATCCAGCATCTAGCGCATTTGACATTTCGCCTCAGTTGGTCACGACCTAGCATTGTTCATTTCCTATTACCTTCTTGATTTTGCATCCGTGTCGCGAGACGACGATTGCTAGCTACCGACTGTATCTAACCGGGGATACATATGAGTGGATATCATATCATGTATTAGAAAAGCCCGCGAATGCCGGACTGTGTTTCGTAGCTATTTAGCATTTAGCCAATGCACAATATTGCGGTAGAGGTTGGTCTCCTCTAGTAGAGCTGTAATCGTTGGTAAATCGTATCATTAGAAGTAAAAAGAGGGCATGGTATTGATGCGAAGCCACCCTAATGCATAACACAGCAGTAGAATAGAAAGAACGATAGCCACAACATTTTGCCAGCAAAGCAAGCCCATGAAACGCCAGATCCGACCTTCAATAGGAAATCAACAGCAACAATGAGAACATTCACCACTCCCATCCCCTCAAAACACAATCAACAAGGCCCCAAATCAAGCCTTATTTTCAATAGGCGCCAACCCCGGCACACCCGAGAACCTCTCCTCTCTCTCCGTCTTGAACATAATCTGGACCCAAAACTCCTTACTATCCTCATCAAACCAAGTCCAATACCGTCCCTCGCGCCGATCAATCTCCCTCGCCTGCAACTTAAACCCACAAGTCTGATACGGCTCCGCAGCGACAACCAAATACTGGAAATTCTTGTCCGGCGGCTCCTCCACCTTCTGCTCAAACGCCGACATAAACCGCACCTTAGGCGTAACTCCCGGCGTAATCTCCTGATACTGCAACTGGAACAACATCCCCAGCTGTCTCGTCAACGGATCCCGAATCTTCGTGATCTTGTACCCCGGTCGTCCGATCTTGATCGTCTGCTTCTTGACCTGCACGCCCATCGCCCCGGGAATGGACGACGGGTCTTGGTTCTTGCCCTCGCGCTGTTCGCGCGCCGCGCGCCGCGCAAGGTTCGTTTGGTGTTTCCGCCCCTGCGTGTGCGCTAGGTAGGACCCGTCGTTTTGGTGCACTGTGAGACATAGTCTGCATTCGAAGCTGCCGACGTGGTTCTTGAAGAAGTAGGGGTCTTTGTCGAGGTCGATTGTTTCCAGGGCCAGTTTGCGGAGACGTTCGCGTCGGTCGGCGTTCGTTGCGGAGTGGGAGGCGACGCCGCCGCCGCCAAATTTGGAACCGGCGCGGTTCTGTTTAGGGGGGTTTTGTTAGTAATGTGGTTTGTATATAAAGAATGTAATTGTGCTTACCTGGTAATCCATGCTGCCGGGTTGTGGTTGTGGAGATGGACAGCAGTGGAAAGTGAGGTGATGATATCGTAGTGTCGAGGAAGTTCTGCTTCGCCGATTTGGGGATTAGCTTCTGCCTCAGGCAGAACAAGTTATGTAAGCGGGGTGTGGGTTGCGATTGGTGGAGCGGGGCGAGTGGGAAATCCGTCACATGCTGGGACGCTCGTTGTATTTGTTCGGAGCTGTAGATTTATGAGTTACGGTTCTCGGCGATTTTAGAATGCAGGCTGCGCACGTAGGCCAACGGCGGTCCTATGCTGGGGATTTGTGTACCGTTCGCTACGTGGGTACTGTTGAGGGCACCTCTGGAGAATGGTTGGGAGTCGAATGGGATGACCCGACTCGGGGGAAGCATTCGGGAGAGCATCGCGGGGTGAGATATTTCACTTGTAAGTATCCTCTTTCTCTCCTGGGTCTTGGAGATTCGTATATTAGTTAGATTGCATACTCACATGTTGCAGGCAAAAGCAAACACCCTACGGCAGGGTCATTCGTGCGTCCGTCTCGCCCGGCAGATAAACCTCGAGGATTCATCGAGGCCCTGCGCGAGAAGTACGCTTCCGAGTTCCTCGAGCAAGAAATTGCTAGGCAAGCACATGGGAATGACACCACGGGTGACCCTCTGCACAAACCCATCGAGATCAGTGGTAAGGTCGTTGAGGAAGTCGGCTTCGACAAAATCCGGAAGCAGCTTGCCAGGCTCCAAGAGCTGAAGATCGTGCTTCTTGATGGTTTGCAAGTTGCGGGTGTGCTGGGGCATGATGCATCAGCTACAGAGATCGAATCCGCGTATGCGGAAATCGAGCAGACTTGCCCACAGATCACCGAGCTGGATCTGAGCCGGAACTTGTTGACGACTTGGGGTGGTGTAGCTCGGATTTGTGAGCGGTTGAACTTCCTTAAGGCGCTGAAGCTTATGTAGGTTCCCTTGGACTGTGGTTCTTGATTTGGGTTGAGCTAACATGGCAACAGAGGAAACCGGCTTGGTCCTCTCGAGGAGGGGTTGAAGTTCGAGGGCATCACAGCACTGCATATTGACGAGACACTTCTAACATGGGAGGAGATATCAGCATTGACGTATCAATTCCCCGTTCTCAGCACACTCTCTGCTTCAGCGAACCAACTCTCAATGCCCACAACTCCTCTATCCAACACCATCACCCGCCTTACCCTAGAAAACAACGACCTCAACACCCTATCCTCTATCAAATCCCTCACCTCGCTCTCAAGACTAGAGCACCTCTCCCTCCGCGGAAACAATATCTCCACTATCTACGACACAAATAACACCTCAGACACAGCCCTCCAATTCCCCCAAAGCCTCCACTCTCTCGACCTATCCCGAAACAAGATCACCACATGGGACTTCATCAACCACCTCCCCGCTCTATTCCCAGGTCTAGACACCCTCCGAATATCCGCCAACTCGCTGTACGACCAGCCCGTCGGCCCATCCCACATCACAGGCGTGCCCGAGAAACCCATGACAGTGGATGAAGCGTACATGCTGACGCTATCTCGCATTGGGTCTCTACGAATGCTTAACTACGGCAAAATCACACCTAAGGACCGCAATAATGGAGAATTGTACTATCTCTCTCTCATTGGAAAGGAGCTATCCGCTTCCCCGGAGACCGCAGAAGCAGGCATCCTTGCTAAGCATCCTAGATACTCAGAGCTATGTGATCTATATGGTCAGCCTGTGATTAGGAGGGCCGAGTCCGGGACTGGCGGTGCTGCTGTGAACCCGCGGTCTGTTGCTGCAAGGCTGGTGAAGTTGGTGTTTCATCTATCTCAGACTGAGGTTGTCGCCCGAGAGGGAAGTTCTATCAACGCTAAAGAAGTCCCTCGGTCGTTCGATACATACCAAGTCAAGGCTATTGTTTCTCGACTTTTCGGACTACAGCCCTACAGCTTTAGGTTGGTCTGGGAGACCGATGAGCTGGACCCAGTAAGCAAGGAGAAGATGGAGGATGATGAGGGCTGGGATAGTGAAGATGATGGGGAGGGAGGTATCGATGATGCTAAAGAGCCGGAGGGGAAGGTGCCTGGGGAGCTGGGGTTCGTGAAACGCGAAGTCGAGCTCGTGGATACTACGAAGGATATCGGGTTTTGGTTCCAGTCGGATATCGCTGAGGCGAGGATTAGGGTTGAAGTTTTGGCCTAATCTATTCGGTGTAAAGCTAGAACATGCTGTGCGATAAATATCAATACCCTTCGGCCGAACTTTATGTTCTATTAAGCCAGTCAAATTTATGTCCGTTCTAATGTACATTGAACACCAGAGCACAGGTCTGTCTCAGTGGATGGTTCCATTTTATCGTAAGCAATAAAACCAATAATGTATTATTGTCCAATTCTTCACTATATTCTGCGTGTTCAATTATCAGTATACTTTGTTCTATTATATGTAATATCCTTCTGCTGATACACATACACTGAAACATGATTCACTACAATATATAGACAGTATTATTTGTATATAGATTGTAAAACATATAAAGAAGAAATTGAGAAGCTTATGCTAACAGACGGAAATCTACAAGCTTGTTTTATTTTTTTCTTTTCCCCCTCACACCAGAACCAATATCCGTTCCAACTGGATTGCATATGGAACCAGTAAATATACCTGTCTCCAGATATGCAGCGGCAAATTTGGTAGCAACAATAACGCTGAATGCACCGCTACTAACCCATAATGCCCATGTATATAAATAAAATATATATAGCAATCAACACCTCGATCACCCGTCCCATCCAGAACTTCCCAGCTAGGTCCTACATACTATGCATGCGTCTCCTTTAAGACCCAATCCTTACCCTATATCTGCGTAGACAATACATGAACCGTGCGACCGACATCCCTAGCCGAGGTCCAATCAAGGAATAGTCCATCCAGTGCTGATGCGAGATTTACCCATCTCGCAGCTTGCTAATGCAGCTTCGGATCTCGACATGCCGCGATAACTTAATCTCTACGTCCATTCAAGTATCAATGAAGATTATTTCGACAGTTGTCACAATATACACTGTTTAGTAGTATTCCGGCTATCTTTTGAAACATTTTCATGGGTGTAGGTACACTATAAACTTATTTATTTGTGGTGGGTAACTCAGTAAACTCTGTAATATAAATATATAGTGGTATGCTATCAGATACTATTGTTCCGTACACGGCAGAAACCAAGCGTTCATCCACATCACAACCACCCATGCCACAACGAAATCCCTACCTACACAGACGGTTCAATTAAGCTCTACCACCAAGGCGAACCCTGGACGCCACAATGGCAGACAACTGGAGACTGTGTGGGTAAACGCGAGGCCCTAAGAGCGCGCCGGACCGAGTTATCCGTATCCCCGAGGAGGAGACCGTAACGGTTGATCTCCTCCGACCCCATAAGGCCCACATACTAGTCAAGGACTCGGAGATAATAAATAGCCTAGCGGAGAAATCATCAGCCGTAATTGTGAGTGAGTTCGTCTTTTATCTCGTAATCTAGAGGTCGGGAAAGGGGTTGTAGGATGTGCTTAATCGGGTTGGAAATGCTAGGATTGTCTTGGATGTCTAGGAGACCATAGAGAAGGTATCATTTTGAGATGCAGCTAATCCTATTGATATCTGAGTCGTATTTTTCCCACCATAGATTCATTATTGCAAGAAGATAAATATGCACCGTAGTCGTAAGACACCTGCAAATGCGCGATCATGAGCTTTCTCCTTTTTTTTCTTCCCCGGCTTTCCTTTCTCTTTATGTTTAACCCTTTCCCTGATGACACATGATCCAATGCGAATTCAAAAGCCGAAACGACCGTATCATGCAAATGCAAGCAAGTTATTCATAAGACATGCCCGATACAACTCATAGAACAAAGAAAGGTCCTCTTTTTCTGATCTGCGGACCCTTCCAGGTGAACAACGAGATGCAGAAGGGATACAGCACTATCGGTAGTGCTGCGAAAACTATATACGGGACCTTGGCTCCACCAGGTTGCTTGATCCACTGAGGGAGATAGAAAGGGGGATGGAATGTCTGGACAGCAAAGAAGAATTGGAAGACAATAGCTACCTCTGCTGCATCTTCCGGGTAACACTCCGTCATGTATGTCAACAGGACAGTGACGAGGACTTCCTGTCCGAAAGTGAAGAGACCGATTCCAGTGAGGGCTGCAGCCCAGCTGTCACCATATTCGAGTTCAAGTCCGTACAGGAGGAGACCAGCCTAGATGGGTATGTCAGGCTTATTGTTTGTATTTTGGCTTTTCCTTCAAAACCTCAACTTACCGAGATGGTGATGAGAGCAGACCACGCAAGATGAAGCAAACGTTCCGGTCTCCACTCCTGACCTCGTCGTAAGGAGTATTTGGCGACCATATCGCAGAGTGGCCCACCAAAAATCTCACCAATGCCGGCACCAATGATACCGGAGAAGTAGCAAAAGCCAACTTGAGCCAAGTTAAAGTGAAAGCGGCTCTTGCTACCGAAGTTGAGCGCAAATCCGGCCGTGTTTCCGACTTCAGTCATGTTTGCGACGCCAAACCAGAAAGACGGAAGAACAACGGCGGGATAAGCGAACATCTTGTATGGCTTGCGGAAGGTTTGGCCCCAAGTCTCTTCCTTGGGGACCACTGGTTTGCGAAACTTCATGCGGGACAGGAACGTGGACTTCTTCCGGTCGGAAGGCTTGGACTCGGCGCTGGTTTTCTCGTTTCGTGTATAGATGGTTTCGGGCACTGAAGGGTGAGAGAAAAAAAGCAATTAGTAAAGCTAGACCCCAAAGTGCCACAGATAAACAGAGTTAAACTTACCAAAGAAGATCTGGGCAACGAATTGTGTGGCGTACAGGATGGCTGCGATGTACATGGACCACCGCCATCCGAGGCTCTTATTGTATGCAATCGAGCCACCAGCGACACCGCCCACATACGGACTAATAACGAGCAAAATGCTATTTACACCCATCCGCGACCCCTTCTCATGCAAGAAAAACATATCAGAAATAGCAGCGGGTCCGATGGACAACCCAACGCTGCCACCTACATTCATGAGCATGCGACAAGCTAAACACTGCGCATATGTCTGGGATCGAGCCACCCCGATCGCGCTGACCAAGGTCATCAGATTGCCAATGAGAAGTACTGGCCGTCGACCTATTCGGTGGCTCATCGGGATCCAGAAGAAGGAGGTTATTGCGTTTAAGATGGAAGGTACAGATCCGATGTACGTCGCGGTTGTCTCGGGGACATTGAATTCTTCAGCCAGCTCCAATGCATCAGGAGCCTAAGGGATCTATTAGGAGAGGAGATAAAAAGAGTAGGAAAGTTCAGTAGACCTACAATCAACGTGGCCGAGAATTTGACCAGGAATGATTCGAACGCGAGGACCATAAGAGCTGCAATTTTGGTGAATTGGCTCCAATTCTATAGGAAATCCCTCTACTGTCAGGACATCATTGATCAGTAGTTTCTGTGAGGACAGCGAACGAACCAAGGGATCCTCTGGATCATCACTGGGCTGGGGGACCAGAGGGATGCCTTGTGCGGTGGTCTTGATTCTAGCATTGGCCTCCGGGTCCCCCGATGACATGGACTTTTCTTGGAGAACTTCCACAGATTGAAGCTCCTTTACGTCCGCCATTTTGACACCAAGCAAGCGCTCTTGCTGGATAATTGGGGAAGAAGAAGACAGGGGGGCATTCTTCAGAAATTTATCGTCACGGCAAGCGCCGAGACGCTATCGCGGGGGAGAATATTGACGCGGAGCTCCAGAGGCAAAATCCGGAGTCAAGTCGCGAGTAGAAGTAGTAGTAGTAATAGATAAGAGATCTTCGGAAGCTGTCAGAACTGAAAAGCGAACGTGCAGACTGGACGGCATGCATGCTTGCCGCCAGTTTTGTGCGTGGGCTTAATCTCGAGCCCGCGCTATCTGGACCGGTCGTTCACGCTAAGGCCGTGGCTGCATATCGCCAGCAATTTGTAGCTCACGCCGTCCGTTATAGTCTGTTATACCCCTGTCAAGCTCGAAAATAGTCACCCACCTCCGAGAATACATAATCAATCCCTCCGGAACACACCGGCTACATGCAGACCGCAACTCCTCCTTCTCCTCCATTCAGCCCTCCCGGAGGATCTCCCGGTTGATCAATCCGCAACCAAAGATGGCCACAACAAGCAAAAAGTCAGATCGACGAGTTCCACCCGAGCAACGGAAGCGCACGGAGCACAGCTGTGACCGTTGCAAATCAAGAAAGCAGAAATGCCAACGGCTTCCAAATGAAGACCGCTGTGAGCATTGCATACGCATGAACTATGGCTGCAAGGTCACCAGGCCCCGAAAGCAACGGCTCTATGGCAGCGCCGAGCTCGTGCGTTACAAGATTGCACTGCTTGAGGCGCTGGTAAAGGGGCTTGTTCCCAGTGCAGACCTCAATTCCATTGAGAGCATGCGAGAACTTGGACAGTCCTTAGGCATTAAGCTTCCGGAAGAGGTGGATAACACGTATCCACCCCTGCTCGAGATGATCCAAGCAAGCGAAGAAGCAAACCCGAACAAGAACGAGGAGCTGGTTCGTGACATGGAGGGCCAGGAACAGTATATCGGGCCTGCGAGCTCCTATTTTTTCCAGATGAAGCTCCGTGCCCTCTTGGGGCTTCATCGCCAGGCCCAGGGAGGAAAGTTTCAGATGTACCTCTTTGGCCGCAACCCTTCCGAGGACACCTTGAGATATGCTAGAGAGATCCTCACGGAGGCCGATATTCGAGCAGTAGCAGAACCCCAACAAGTCGAGGTCAGCGCTAATGCTGTCCAATATCCTTCTCCTTTGCTCGATCGCTCCGTCATCAATGGGCTCATTCGAGCTTACTTCGATAACGTCAACATCGACTTCCCGGTCCTCCACGAAGCCTCTTTCTTGGAAATATACGATGTGTGGCGACTTTCCCCGCAATCCGTTGATCGAGCGTGGGTATGTGAACTGTTGTGCGTATTGCTTCTGGGTCGGCGAATTAGTCCGCTGGGGACAACGGAGACCCAGCAGCAAAAATGGTGGACCCACGTGGAATCCCTTCTGCCCACAATTATTTTCACCAACAATATCCTTTCGGTCCAGGCCTTGATGCTGGCTGCTTTGCATCTTCATAACACGAATCATCGTGATGCCTGCTGGACCTTGACCGGGGCAGCGGCCCGCATTGCAATCGCCATTGGACTCCATCGAGACGAGATCATCTGTGAGGGACCTAGACTGGCTAAGGAGCTCAGGAAATCACTGTGGTGGACACTGTATGCTTTCGAGCAGATCCAGGTCTCTTCCCATGACCGGCCCAGTGCTATCGATAGCACCATGTGTTCTACTACCTCGCCCCATGAGAGAGTCCTTGGTATGGGATCCTCCAACTGGCCCCCGACCTACACACTCTGGTCCGCACGGCTTGTTACTATCTTAGGCTTAGTATGCCGTGCCTTACCAACTGCCACGAGCGAGAATGGTCGCACAGGTCTCCTCTCCCCGACAGCTGGGTTGCTCCGGGATTTAAGCCGGTGGCTTTATTCCCTACCCCAGCACCTAACTCTCAGCGTATTGAGGACCTTGCCAGATGGCTTCAAGAGACCCGTTCTCTTGTTACACATCCAGTATCATTATACTGTATCCTTGCTCACTCGCTGTGCATTGCTGCAACTCCTTGCCTCCGTATCGCAGAACTCAGAAGCTAACCCCAACGATGAAGAGGTCAAAGCGAATGCCAAGGTTTGTTGCGAGTCTGGTAGAAAGGCTTGTGAGCTACTGCTGCAGCTGGACGAACTGGGGAAATTCAACCCAGTGACCTGGTGGGACGTCTATTACGTGTACTCGTCGACTTTGGTCTTGACGTTGAGTATTCTGTGCGACCGAGCGCGGCCCGACAGCGACAAGACTGTCACTGACAAGGATGTTTCGTTGCTCCACGACTGTGCGAGTATGCTCATGCGCCATTCGTCCAACCCAATGATGCCTGCTACCATGCTTCGCTGGACCGGCGCCATACGGGACGTTGACGTGCTGCTTAACGAAAGGTCGGCCCCCGCTCAACCGCCACCAGTCCGCGATGATCCGGTCAACAATGAACCAGTCTCGGAAAATGCTCTGGTCCCTCTTGGTTCGTCGATGAGAGAGATAACTGCTCCTTATTCTGGTATGGAAGTGGCACTAGGCCCTAGCACCGAGCTCGCTGTGTCTCAAATGGGTTTAATTAACATGCCCTTCCAAAATTATGGAGCGGGCATGGACCCCCTCACGGATCAGAGCGTGGCTCAGATGGATCCGACTATGGTGTATGCTAATGGCGGCCACATAGACCAGTTGATGTCGATGCCGCTCTTGGGCGACGACAATGCTATCTTCTCCTGGGATTCGATTGGATCCATGTTACTGGGGACAGAGGCATTCAATGGTCATTTGGACTGTAATATGTGATGATTGGGGTGGCGCCGGGTTCTCTTCAGTGGTGTTCTAGATGACACGCCTCTGGAAGGGCCCTAGACGTCGGGGGTGTGCGTAAGATGGATTGTTGTGGAAGCAGAAGAAGCGTTTGCAAGTGAACGATACGTAAGTGACATTTGGCATTTCATCGAAAGTCGCTAGACGCATATACCCAAAACAAAGCTAATTTGCTCCTGAGCTATCAACCAGCGGCCGCACGATCCCGACTAGCCATGCTTTCGGATGTTCGACTGCTGAGGGAATTTGACGACGGAAATGCCTAGGCGCCATTTGCTTTTTTTCTTTGTTCTTTTTTTTTTTTTTTCTTTTGTCTCTTTTTCCTGTTTTTGTCCTTAGAACGATCACATGTCATTTCGATAGCTTCGACACTAAGAATGGTACAATCAATGTTAGAAGTGGAGATTTCAGCGTTATTATCGGTCATAATCGTGACTGAGACATCTGTACCAGGGCTATAAACCACCGACGGGCAAGCTCAATATCCGCTTTCAAATCGTGATCCCAGATCCACAAAAAGCGTTGATTAAGATTTGCGACGATCTCGGCCAAGTCCGTGCCCAACTGCGGATGCGTGAAAGTATAGAGCGTCCCCGCCTCTTGACTCGTGGTTACGACTGCTTGCGCCCGTGGCCGTCGAATACTGTCATAAACCTGGAATGCGTGGGTAATTTCGGAGCGATTCTTGGCGAGACCCAGAATGTGAGACATGATAAGAGAATCCTCCAGGCATTGTCCAGCGCCGGCAGCTTGATGAGGCGTAGTGCCGTGGGCCGAGTCCCCCAGGAGACAAATTCGTCCGTTATAATAGGTGGGTGTGTCAGGATGGTGCCATAGAGACCATTGTAATGGTTTGGCCCACTGTTAAGGCTCATTAGCTGTTCTAGGCAAAGACGATCATAAGGGCTAACACGCACGTCCAATAATTTGAGAAGGTGCTGATCAACCTCCGCAAAATCGGCCACCATCTCCTCCTTAGTGACATCCTTGGTCCATTGTGGATGTGTCCAAGGTCCATCCATCATCTTGATGGCTACCACATTGAGCTCGGTGCCGCGTGAAATTGGAAACGTCATGATATTCTTTTTATGGCTGACAAACGCCTTCGCGTCTCCAGCATGGTCCCCGAGAAGCCGCTGGGCATCTTCCATTGGAACGATCGATCTGTAGACATACTTGCCACTAAAGATAGGTTGCACCTTGTCTGGGTATAGTGTCCCTAGGACGGCTTGCCTCGTCGGGCCCTTCACGCCGTCACATCCAATAACCGCATCTGCCTCCGCAATACTGCCGTCTTCAAATGTGATAATAATTTTGCTGTTCTCTCCCGTCTGATTGATATGTTTGACCCTTTTGTTGAACTGTACACGCTCTTGCGGAATTAAGCTGGTCATTATTTCTAGGAGATCACGGCGATGTGCGCTGGTTCGGGTGTAGAACTCCGCCCCAAACGGGGCCGGCTGCCAGCCCCGTTTGGCGCCGAATCCTTCTTCGGCATACAGCACTTCCATCGCTATGTGCTCCTTGTTCGGCGTCAAATTTCCGGAAGATATTTGATTGTACAATTGTCGGAATCTTGTGTCTATCAATTCCATCGCATGAAGCGCATTTGGCCCCAGGCCGATCCCTGCACCCACTGCACTAAATTGCGCGGCCGACTCATACAATGTGTAAGAGACGCCCCGATTAGTGAGTCCAATGGCTAGAGCCAGTCCTCCTATGCCTGCTCCGACGATAGCAATATGCATGGTATCCGATCCTGCTTGTCCTGATATGCTCGCTGCTGGCTGCGCCATAGTGTATTGGCCAATAATGGCGTTCTCGTAGCAACCTTATGCCAGGCTAATCAAGCGCGAAAGACAGGTGATTAAAGTGCGTAGCGTTTAGATTGTGTCGCGGTAGTATGTCCTGAGCCGATGCTTACCGCAAAAGAGCAGGGGGGCGCCCGGCTATTTTTCATCGGCGCGAAATGCTCTCATCGGATGCATGTAAGCCGCGCAGCAACGTTCGGACACTGAAATGTCGGTTGTTTGCAAGCCGCAGTACCCCTGTCAGGCTCTCAGGCACACAAATCATCGGTTACCTGTATGCCGCAGCATACAGGTCTTGGCATGATAGACGTAGCCCTACACCAGGTAATGCTTGTTCGTACGCGCAGGGATGCATGAGAACAGGGCCTTCGAGACAGCGATGTAGTATACAGTAGTAGTGATGGTTAAAGTAGCAGGACCCCCAGGCCTTGAAGCTTGGAAGGGAGTTGAGTTGAACACATTCAGACAGAATCAGTCATATCAAAATGGCTGCTTCGGGAATCAGCATCTCCATTGACAGCGGTAGCACCTTCACTGATATCTATGCATCGATTCCTGGTAAATCACAAGATATCACTTTGAAGCTGTCTTCCGTCGACCCGCAAAAGTACCATGACGCACCGACAGAGGGTATTCGTCGTGTGCTCGAGATTGCTAGTGGGAGCCAGATACCATGCGGACGGCCACTCAACTTAAGTGAAGTGAAGAGTATCCGCATGGGGACAACAGTAGCTGCAAATGCTCTGTCAGAAGGAAAGGGCGAACGGTCTGCTTTGGTGATCACAAAGGGGTTTCGTGATCTTCTCTTGCTTGGTGATCAAGCACCGCTTGACCTCTTTGGCTTCACCGTTCCGAAGCCAATGGCGTTGTACGAGAAGGTTCTTGAGGTGGACGAGCGAGTCATTCTGGAACCCTCTCCAGACGATCCAGGAGGCCAAGCGGCCAATGTTGATCCGGATAAAGTACTCGACACAGGCGTCTCGCAGCAAGTTATACGGATTGTGCGGGAACCGTATTGGGGTATTGTCGAGCAACATTTTGTGGAAATGCATGACCGTGGCATCCGAAGTGTAAGCATCTGCCTCATGCACAGTTCAGTCTATCCAAACCATGAGTTTAGACTGGCAGATCTGGCCCGGAAGGCTGGTCTTAATGTGACAGTCAGTTGCCTTCTGAATCCAAAGGTATGTCGACTTCCTAATGTGCTTGAAGGTTGAGCCATAGTGCTGTGATAATAAGGCTGATACGTGGTAGATTGGAATGGTAGCACGCGCCGAATCAGCTACCTTGCACGCATACGTAACACCGGTCATACGAAAACATGTCGAGCATCTCAGAAACTTGTTTGTTGGTCAGATGAGGGATCCCACTCTTCCTCCGTGCGAGTTTATGCAGAATGATGGAACAATGGCTCATATACACGATATTGTGGGGAGCAAGGGTATTCTGTCCAGTTCGGTGGGTGGCCTGCTAGGGTATGCTTCGACCTGTTATGATCGATCATCCGGCAAGCCGCTCATTGGCTTTGATATGGGTGGTACATCAACGAGTGAGCTGATTGCCTGACCAAAACCTGACGATCTCTCTTTGCTGATCATGTACTAGAAATATCGCGGTTTGCGGGCGAATACGAACGTGTAACGACAACACTAGCCGGTAATACCATCGAGTTGCCTCAGCTAAACATCAATACTATTGCAACTGGCGGAAGCTCTCAGTTATACTGGTCGAAGGGGTCAGCGGAAGTAGGGCCAGACAGTGTCGGTGCACATCCTGGCCCAGCTTGCTATCAGAAAGGGGGCCCCCTAACAGTCACTGATGCGAATCTGCTCTTGGGCCGCTTGGTACCAGAGTGTTTCCCCAAGGTCTGTGGACCAAATGGGGACAAATCCCTTGATATAGAAGTGACCAGAAGGATGTTCAACGACCTATGCTCAGATATTAACAATGGTGCTAATTCAGATGCAACTAAGTTGACCCCAGAACAAGCGGCACTCAATTTCTTGCGGATCGCAGAAAAGAATATGTGTCGCGCTATCCTCAGGCAGACAGAAACACGAGGTTACGAGGCTAGTGGCCATGACCTCGTTGCATTTGGTGGTGCTGCAGGCCAGCATGCTTGCTTCATTGCATCTTCTCTGGGCATCAATCGGGTCATCCTGCATCATCACAGCTCTATGCTATCAGCGTATGGCATGGCCTTCGGGAGTCTGGTCTCAGATCTCGAAGAGCCGCTTGAATGCGTCTTCCGCAGAGATACCATCCCTCGGATCCGGGAGATTGAGGCCTCCTTGCGAATTAGGGCGGAATCAGAGCTTCGCGAACGAGGGATTGGAGATGCAGACGATATCGAGTTCAAGGTCGAGATCCTTATGCACTATGAAGGTTCCGATATCATCATTGCGATCTCGAAACCGGAAAACGAATTGGAGCTCACAATGAAATTTGCAGACGTACATAAGAAGAAGTATGGCTTCATAGCAGCACGGCCGGTGGTTGCCTGCACCGTTCGATTGCGTGCAGTCGGGCTCAAGAAGCCCCCCAGTGATCTATCTCCAGCTCAGCAGTTTGCATGTCTGGGGGAGTTCCGAGCTCCATCACGCGAGGCTAGGGTGATGACTAAAGATGTCTATTTCGGGGAGCGCGGTTGGCAGCGTACTCCAGTATATCGCCTTGAAAGTTTAAGAACAGCCGACCGGATTGAAGGACCGGCCTTGATCGTCGACAATACCCAAACCATTCTCGTGACCCCGAACGCGCAAGCAACAATTCTGAGGAGCCATGTGGTGATCGACATAGCTTCGCCAACGGCACATGCAGTCGTTCAAAAGATTGCCATTGACCCTCTTCAGTTTGCAATATTCGATTATCGGTTTTCATCCATGATGAAGAAGATGAAACGAATGCTGCGGAGGACAGATATCAGCAGCGAGATGAAGAAACACTTGAAGTTCTCGTGCGGCATCTTCTCCGCAAATAGCAGACTGATAGCCTGTGGTAGGAAGGCCTTGTTGAGGACAACCTATAGATACAATCGCTGACCTCATCATACTACTTAGCCCCCTTTGGTCCATCGCACATTAGCACCATGAAATGTGCCGTACAGTCCAACCGTGGAAATTGGAAGCACAAGCTACAAGACGGAGATATTCTTGTGTTCAGACAACCCAGTAAGTCGGATTCGAAAATTTTCTCACAACTTACGCAGCGTGGTTTGACCAGGAACAGGACTGTGCGGGAGCACTCATCCTCTCGATATTACAGTGGTCACCCCTGTATTCCATGGCGGCGTCATCGTATTTTACTGCACCTCCAGTGGCATATTCACTGATTCGTCAGCTTTGATCTCGAAGGAGCCTTGGCAAGAGGATGGAGAGATCATACCAGCTGAAGTAGTGCGGGACGGCGCCATGGACGAAGAGAGTATTGAAAAGTATATCCTGTCAGATCGCAAACAGCATTCTGACTGCAGTGATTCGAGCTATCTGGCCGACAATCTTGCCAACCTCCGTGTCTTGGTTGATGCAAACCAGCAAGTTAGGGAACGTCTAATGAAGCTCTTGGAGGGGCAAGAGATGAAAGTAGTATCGGTGAGTGGCAGCAACACCCTATCAGCGGTTGGCCGAATCCGACTAAAGAATGCGGTAGGCATCTGTCAGAGCTATGGAAAGAAGGCCCGAGACCGCGGTTCGCCAGCTATTGAGAATTGTTCATGATAAGCGTGGCGGTAGGCCGTTAGTCGCGACCGATTTGATGAGTGATGGTAGCCCCATTTGTCTGAAAATCACAATTGATTATGACAAGGGAGAAGCCGACTTTGATTTCACAGGCACTGGTACGCTCCAAGCTTCCCTCTCATGTGTTATAAGACATTGGGCTGATTGTCTCCGTGAAGCCAGGACCAATTTTCCTGCGCATGTGGCCCAAGCTGCCATAATGTACCTGTTGCATCATTGGATCAAGGGAGAAATCCGGTTCAGCCAGGGTTTACTCAACCCGATTAACATCATTCTTCCATCGCAAGCTGGATCAACGCCAAACCCCCAGTCAGATAATACCATCAGCAACAGACGGGTCGCCTCGCATCATGTCCTCGAGTTGATGTTGCAGTGCTTTGACATCTATTCCAGTGGACGTCTTCATAACCTGATGTTCAGCGTTAGGGGCCAGATCACACCCGATGGGACGTACATACCAGGCTTTATGCATCAAGAAACAATTGTGGGGGGCTCCTGCGCTGGTCCTGACTGGCATGGGAAGAACGCTATGGAAGTAGGCACAACGAAGACACGAATCATTGATGCCGAGCTATTGGAAAGACAGTACCCTTGCCTGGTCTGGGAGTTCAGTGTCCGGCATGGCAGTGGTGGACGGGGTCAATTCTATGGTGGTGATGGGTGCAACAGAGTGATTGAGTTCCTAAAGCCAGTCAGCTTGACGGTCATGTCAGAGTGTCAACCCCCAAGCTCGGATGGTTTCCACGGGGGCTGTCACGGCGAGGCCGGCGTCAATCTGTTGATTAAGAAGGCCACTTCCGACCGAGAGCCAAACCAGGTTGTCAATCTTGGTCCGAAAAGCACAACCAACGTATGCAAAGGTGACACTCTGATCATCCAGACATCTGGCGGTAGTGGGTGGGGGGAACCAACTGCTAGCGATGCGAGTGTGTACAGAAGGCGGAGTCAATACGTTCTCTCTCCCAGGCCATCTACCGCCTTGGTGACCGCAAATTCTCCCCAGCGAAACTTCGAGTACACTTATTGCGAATGCAAGTCGACTTTGCTACGCAGATATACACAGTGAACCTAGCAGACACGCAGGCAGGATCCATGCGGATAGGTCAGATACCATTATACATGCACTAATACTATTAGAATGAATGTCGCTATTTTGAGTTTTACTAGGTTTCACGCCGAGCACAAACCTGAAAAGGGCTTATCTCCTATATTCAGAGTGAAATTGGGCTTTGTCATATGGTTGCTCTTTTGGGAAGGTTCTCATGTAGTATATTGTAGATATTACTTAGCTTGTCTCGTCTACTCAGGACATCCCTCGATGGCTTTGGGTTTCGCGGACATTGAGTTCTGCCGGCAGAACGATGAACTCCGCACATCAACGCGTGGGGGTAACGTTAAGAGGGTATCTGACTGAGTACAGAGTAGAGAAGGAATGTCGCTTGACTTCATTTGGGCTTAAAACGATGCGAAAAAGAGCACATTATCTCTTGCCAATTAAAAAGATGACAGTGGCAGTATCAAGTAGATCTGGAATATAGTTAACATGATACGAGGCCCACTTACGACTGGACCAGAACCCGCTGTTGATCAGCAAACGCCGATCAACGCTAATCTCCAACCGGCAACCAACTCAACGATGAAGAACTGAACCTTGTTGCCGCCTCAACCCCCGCCTTTTGGTCCTCCACACTGTTAAAGCAGCGTCACCACCAGCATTTAATATTAACAGTGTGTCCACCACGATGGACCATCCATCCCTTTCCTCCGAAGTTGATACAACAATACACTCTACAGCCTCGACTCTCCTTCATCCCTCTCTTACTTCTGTCGCCGAAGATGCGTCGACGCTAGCTGCCCACCAGGACCCGCAACTAGTTCCAACCCATCGACAAGGCCAAGTTAGCATTGACGAGGACTCGCTCCATGGTCTACAATGTGCCGTCGAAGAGCTCGACTACTCTCGACAATCTCATCAGTCTCAAAATCAACACCTTCATCAACAGACGCATCTTCAATCTCTCGTAAAAAGACCTGACCAGCATGTCGACATCCGCACGATTCTCGATCCGCCGGATCTCGACGCATGGCGAGAACGGCTTTTCAATGTCGACGAGATGATAGTCCTAAGTGAGGAGCAGTGCGTGTTTTTTTACTTTACTGCAGATGAAATGCCCTTGTTGACATACTCCAGATTCCTAACATATTTCCCACACATTGACAACGTCTACTCCCACCGCTCAACTCAACACTACAAACGCAAACCACTAATTTCCCATTACTGGGACTGTCGCCTGAAAGGTCGACCTCCCGGAACACCGAAATCCAACGATCCCAACAAAAAGAAACGTAAACGAACTGCCCGTCAGCGGGATCTCTGTGATGTGAAGATCAAGATCACAGAATACTTCCCGGGCCACGATGTTATGGGATCAGATCTTGGAGTCCTTGATGGGCTTGGGGTTCCTAGCCCAGTACTCCAGGAGTCTGCTGTCAGGGAGCAACAACAAGCTCAAAACCAGCAGTTTGGTCTACTAACGCCAAGCTTGAATCCACCTCTACCAGAGGGTCATCCAGGGGTCAACGGGCAGCGGTTCTTTACTATCCAGCGAGTAAATGGGAATGGGGCGAACGGGAAGAACGATGGTGTGAGTGGGGGCCATCGTCATACGCTGGAGGACAGTGATCGCGTGAAGAAGAATAGCGTGCAGCGGTTCTTATTGCAGGAGTTGAAAGAGAAGAAGAGGTCGCTGAATGTAAGTTTGTTTCTTTATGCTTGTTGATTGATCCTGGCACAAGCGTGTTACGTCATTCGGCGGAGAAGTGCCTATCGCCGACTATCTTCCCCGCTCGTCAACTGCACCTTCACTTCCCGTCCACCATGCTCCGAAGATCCATTCTGTCGTTGAAACCATTGCCATTTGGCAATTTATCCAGGCGTGTGTCCTCTGCTGTTAGGACACGATTGATTGCTCTTCCTTCTAATCACCACCGCACACAGACCAGAGTAATGGCTACTCAGAACCAGATTCAAAAACAATACCATACCAAAGCCACCGGCCTGGCTGCCCAGACAGTCGCGCACCGCTCACAAGACAATGAACTGAAATTGTATGGAAGTTGCTTTTGGTACGTTCACTCTAATTTATATGCATATATACATCGTCGCTAGTGCTGACCACTGCTAGCCCTTTTGTACAGCGCGTCTGGGTTGGCCTGGAGATCAAGGGCATCCCCTATCAATATATTGAGGTTGACCCGTATAAGAAGCCCCAGTCATTGCTGGACGTGAACCCCAGGGGTCTTGTCCCAGCCTTGCGGCATGGGGATTGGGGCTCATATGAGAGTTCCGTATTGCTGGAATACGTAAGAGTCTACCCCTGCCCCACTGAACCAACTTGATCCAATCCTAACATGGCCCTAGTTGGAGGATCTGAATGTCGGCACACCGTTGCTTCCGCCCGGAGACGCCAAGCTGAGGGCGCATTGCCGACTGTGGACGGATTTTGTATGCACCCCATGATTATCGTCCCCTTCACCTCTGACATTCGCAGATCAACCGCTACATCGTCCCAAATTTCTACCGTGTCCTTCAAGAGCAAGACACACATAAGCAAATAACCAACGCGCAGGAGCTCCGAGATGCATTCAACACATTGGTCGGCGCCGCAGATGCGCAGGGCCCGTTCTTTCTGGGCGCTCAAATCTCGTTCGTTGATGTCCAGGTCGCCCCTTGGATCATCCGCTTGCGCCGTGCCTTGAAGCCTTATCGCGGGTGGCCAGACCCGGAGCCTGGCAGTCGCTGGGGAGCCTGGGTCGACGCTATTGAGAACAATGAGCACATCCAGGCAACCACGAGCACCGATGAGCTCTATCTGGATAGTTATGAGCGATACGCTCGTAAGTGTATTGTTGATACAACGCGATCACAAGCTGACGTCTCTAGAAAACCGCCCCAACACGTCCCAGGTTGCCAATGCGATCAACTCCGGAAGGGGTCTTCCCTAGCTTGTTGCAGGTCACTGCTATACCATTTAGCGTTTGAATACTACTCTGAGCAGCGACCCGGAGTCGCGTCCCACCAACACAGACAGGCGCGATGCGCCAATCCTTGGTGAAGGGATAGCTGTCGTTTTCGTAGTCTAGCCTCCACGGGCACCCCTGTTGCCCATTCTAAACCCGCCCCTTCCGCTACTATCAGGGCCACGAGGACTGCGGATTGGCTGCCTTGGAGATTGCGAATCATCCTCCCTTCGGACACCGCTCTGTTTCTCCCTCCGCGGTCCAAAGCTCGAGTTCGGTTTAGGAGACCCCGGATCGTAGAGTTGCTTAGACTTCCCGGATGCAGCAGACGAGTCACGCTTGTCACGGTTGTTGTCTCGCCCATTCCCACGGCTTCTCCCTTTGCCTCGGCCCTCGTGTTGTTTAGGCGGGGTAGCACTGCGTGGCGAGGACGCGCCGGAAGTAGGGGCAGACGGGCTACCGAACAGCCTCTCCCTGACTTCCTCATATTTGCGCTGCTTCTCTTCCAGATTGCGCAGCGCAATAGCCTGCCGCTCCTCGGGTGTAGGCTGAGGCGGTTTATCCTCATCAGAGTCGTCATCCTCATTCAGCCCTAGTCTTCTCATACCAGCACTCGCAGCGTCCACGGAGGACGACTGACGCGTAGCTATTTGGGGATTGCGACTGAGAACAGTGACGGTGGGCTTGAATTCCTGCTTGAGCGGGACGTTTGACCGCGCTTCTAGGTAATGAAACGTCTGAGGTGATTCTCTGTAGCGAAAAACGGTCAGGCAAACATCGGCAAAGTCATAATTGTAGTATACGTACGCCTCGGCCCATAGCTGTCGGTTAAATTCGGCCTGTTGGGCTCTGCGCTGGGCCTTGGTAACTTTCGAGGAGACTTTCTTCTCCTGCGGAGGCGGGGCGGATTCCACAGCGAAAGACTAGGAGAGCGATTAGCCAGAGAATTGAGGTGGTCGCACGGCGGAATGCAGACGTAGTGGTGCACATACATCAGCCTGACTCTCCCAGTCCTCCTCCCAGGCGTCGGGGCCACTTGAGGGCTTTGCGCTCATGGCCAAGGGATATCGCTATAGCGCGTAAAACAGTGTTTGAACGAGTGAACGACGTGACCCAGAGTCAGTAGGGTCTAGATAGTAAACCAAGAAAGACACGTCCAATGTATTAGCCGGGTGGCTTAGTTTAAAGGAGAGAATGAACGAGGGGTAAGTAAGACGAGGGGAAGAAAATCGTCTAGTTTGGAAGAGGAGTTCAGAAAAGCGGAGGAAAATGGCGGTTGCCGCCTTGTGCTTAGTTAAGATCGCCGACCTCACCTTATCCCCGATCCCTCCATCGATCTCAATACAACATCGACAGACTGTCTCGCTTGGTTGTTTTTCTGTTTCGTCTATTCCTTGATTGATTGACCGATTTGATAAACTCATATACCATGGCTACCGGTTTGTGCCCTTCCCAACCACTCCACACAGCTCCCCGCTGCACCACATACAAACAACCTCCACCTATTTCCCCACTACCACTAACACCCACGCAACTCACTCATTAACCATAACCAACCATAACAGACCCAGACGGCGACTCCCAAATGGCCTCCTCGCCCGAATCCTCCCACGGCCTCTCCGAAGACTCCCACCCAGGAACCCGCACTCCAACCAACAAGCTCACCAACCCGCGTCCTCCTCCCTTCGGCGGCTCAGAACTCTCCCCGCCCGGCTCACAAACGCAAACCGCTACTCTGAACTCGCAGGGACAGATGTCCTTCAACCCAAGCCTAATTGACTCCCCGCTCGCGACGCAGACAACTCAGCAGGTACAACAGCAGCAACAACAGGGAGAGCAGATGGATGCGCCGGGCGCGTCATGGATGAATAAAAGGGCGGAGGAGGAGTATCAGCGCGCGTTGGAGTATGTGGTTGATCAGGAGTTCAATCTGGGTATGTTATTGATATATGTTCTTCCATGGTCGATTTAGTATGGGTTGGGTTGGGATGTGCTAATTAGTGGGCGTGTAGATGAATTCGGGGATCCGTTTGATGAGAGGGATGTCGAGGAGAAGCTGTTTTGAGGGTGAATCTTGCATTGTGTGGGTATAGCGGTGGTGTTTGGGGAGTTGGTGGTTTCTTCTTACTTTTATTTCTGTGCTTTGGGGATTGAGGGTGTATGCATGAGCTATGAGCATGAGATATGAGTTTATTGCATCTGGATTGCTATTCCTTTCGGTTATTCTAGAGGAGGGATGATAATTGAGACGGATAGTCAAGATAGCATTTGGACTGGGTGCCTTGAACCAGGTTCAAGCCTATGGGTCTGTAGTATGTTCTGATGAAAAGGATTTGCAAGGCCCTTCGTCACTGTAAGGCTGTTGAATCCTTCTGCCATCCTCCAGCCCCGACTTTCTTAAGCCCTAATCAGTGTAGCAAGGATGGCAATCAGGGAAATGATACCACAACCGCTATACGGACTTAGTACCGCCTGCTACATGAAAAGGCGTAGCGGCAGCAACATCTATCGTCGAGCCAGAAACACCGCATTTCCATGATATGAAAAAGGAACGACTATTTCTGCAATCAAGGTCTTCAGTGTCAACCAACACCAATTCCAATGACCGAACGACAGCATATCCGACACATCCCATCCCTACTCACCACCCCGCTCGCCTCCAAGCACCCACTCTTCCAACTTCCCAAACGCCCTCTCCAAATCGTATCATACAGTCCACCCTCAACAGCCCCTTCAGCCTCCGCTCTTGCCCTCTCCAACCTCCTCCTCACATCCTCCTCTCTCTCCGTGCCCCGTCCCCTCAACCTCTCCAGCACCTCAAAGCTCGGCGGCCTAATAAACACATACCGTGCCTCCACCCCCGATGACTCTGCTTTCATGTGCCTCGCACCTTGCACATCAGTATCCAGCACAGGAATTAGCCCCTTGTCCAGTTGATCCGCGATGGCTCTCCTGCTCTTGCCGTACTGGTACCCGCTGAATGTGGCGTTTTCGACGAACGCACCTTGCGAGTTGAGGGTATTGAATATGGGTGAATCAACGAAGAAGTAGTCTTTCTCGTGGATTTCGTTGGCGCGCGGTGCTCGTGTTGTGTGCGAGATTGGTGAGGGAGAAGGTGTTGGGGTGCGTGGTGATGAGCTTGTGGATTAGGGTGCCTTTGCCGACGCCGGAGGGGCCGGATATTATTATGGGATGGGATTTGATTCGTGGCATTTTGGTAGGCTTGGAGATAGGGGGCGGGTATGTAGTGCTCTGATATAGTATGACAAGGATAGTGTCTCAGGGAGGGAGTCTAGATGTAGAGGGGTGTGACGGTCGAGCATTGTTTCCGGCTAGCTGCATATGCTTTTCCATCACATAGTGGTTCTTTGTATGTTTGTACAAGCAGTTTAGTGGATGTTCCTTGGGAAGTCTGGTTTGGGATTCGCTGCAGGAACATGGTGATATGGATGCTAGGGGCAATTGATCATCAAACAAGTGGTTATGTCGAGGATACGGGTCTTCCCAGTATATGTTGACAGTCTATACGTCTAAGAGGCTGGTGTTCTATGGCCTCTCAGAGCGTGGTGCTGGTGTTGTCTGTGCGCATTGAGCAATAGCCAGATGAACTGGCCTCCATAATCCGTATGGCCTGTGCGTTATTCATTGATCTGGGGGTGGTGACCATCGTAGTAAAGCATGCTATCAGATCTTTCAGTAAACTATATCTATGCTTTGTGTCTATGTTTAGTTTGAAGAAACTCGTGATTATCATAGTAGATAGGTATATACTGTTTAGAGCCCGACGGTATATTTGGAGGAAGAACGAGGCGAGGATTAATGGAAACTCTTGTAGGAAACACGCTACAATAGTCAAACAGTGATAGATAATCAAATTTACACGATATCAAGCAGAGTTGCAACGAACACATGCTTTATTCGATGCCAGTGTGAATTATATAGTGAAGAGAGTGCTTAGCAACAAATTCAATACATCCGATCATCATATCCTAGTAACCTAACAAGTATGCAATTCCAACCAGATACCAACACAAAATCCAATAAGCAAGAAGTATAGACCCCAACCCCAAACAAACGCCATCAATATCCCATCACACATATATGACATAACCTAGACCGGCGACGTATTGCTCTGAATCTTAATACCATGATCTCTCGCCATCCAATGCAAATCCCGTAGCCGTAACTGTCGCATGTATATCCGCTGTTCGGGTGGGAAGTCGAGGTTCCTCTCCTCGCCGTAGAACCCATTGGTCATAAGGTAATGGATGGAGTAACCGAAGACAGAAACTACCACACAGCCGAGGATGACGAAGAAGATGATGGCTTCTTTGGCGATGTAGACCATTTTGTTGTTTGGATTGTGGATGAGGGAGAGAGGTGGAGGAGGGTGATAGTGGGAACTGTTAGAGGTGTTAGTTAGAGATGATGTCGGGGGTGAGTGGGTGAGAGACATACTGTTCTTGTGTCTAGATGTTTAGTAGTATAAAAATGAAAATAGTCCAGCTGTAGTATAAATCTCTTAGAGACGTAGAAATAGTGACCAAGATACTAGAAAAGTATGAACGTAACGAGCGACTGTACACTGAACTCTCGAGATATGGTATGAAAAGAAGGACAATAGATGAGGAACGAAAGAGAAGTCTGCTTTCCTCCATCCATTCTCCCTCCCCTGCTCACCTCTTTATACCTCCCATCACCCAAATCCTCTATTCCTCACCGTGAAAACAGACCCTATCGAACGATCTATTCTGAGATATAGATATCGCACCATCTCAGAAAGGGTATAGCGTATGGCCCCTATGATGTCATTAGCGAGTGAGCCAATCAGATATTCCGAAATCTCATGCGCTTTAGGTTTAGCGTGATTTGTATTATGATTCTGGAGGGTATATCGGAGCTGGAATGCCCCCATTGATAGGTTGCGGAGATTGTCAGACGTATCTGATGCTCGGGCTTGGTTGGTGAGAGGATTTCGGTATGTGCGCGTCCCTATTTTATTGAGGTCTAGGATGCAGTCAGTGGATGGCTGAGTCTACCTATACGACTACTAGTTACTGATAAGTCCTGTTTAGCTGCATAGCTGATAAATCAAATCACGTTATTTCTCTGGTCTTGTGTGCACATATCAGTACTATGCATACATCATGTAGCCAGGATACTCTATCCACTTGTCTCCGCTTATACTGCGCCCAGCCGACAAACGTACCCCCCAGTCACTATCAGCATTCATTCTCCATCTTCTTAACCCAAGGAAGGCCCCTACAGCCCCTTCCCATGCTTCTTCTCCGCCTCTTTATTCTTGAAAGGGAACCCTGTAGTCCTCTTATCCGCCCCCGTCTTCCGACTAATCTTCCCATTACTGCTCGCGAAAAGCGCACACCAGATACCCAACGAGGCGAGCGCCCCCGACACCACCATTCCCACTCCAAATGCCAATTGGCCCTTATCCGCAAACCAGGCGTACGCATACCCGGCTGAAATGAAATGGAAGATGGTGGTCACTTGCATCGTCGGCACAGCGTAGGGCGCCTTGGGATCGGAGTCGTCGGTTGTCACGGGGTCGGTGATGGAGGCCGTGAGTGGGATGGAGCCAGTCAGCATTACGGTTAGAATGGCCATTGTGAGGAGGCTCATGCCGAGGCAGCGGGAGAGGTAGGTTTCGATTGCTGTATGGAGTCAGTCTGGGTCATTGGGGAATGTTGGGGATAGGTGAAGACGGGAAGTACAGGATGGCTGTCTGCTTTCTTGTTCGAGCATTGTGGTCATCATTTCAGGGACAATAATTAGGGCGATACTCTGTAGCGAGAGCCAGCCCGCTGTTGAGTAGGTGTAGGCGTAGAATACCTGTCGGTGGTATTAGCATTGATGCGATTGGGGTTGCTGGGGAATGGTTGAGCTTACGTCCATGGTTGCAGATCGAATATATCTCCGGTTGTGGTTCGTGAGGAAATCTGATACGAAGATTGGAATAGGTTTTGGGTACTGGAACCAACAATTGAAGAAGTAGCTGAGAACTGCCCAGCGGTTCTTCTCTTATAAGGCAGAGCTCGTGAGGTCATTGCTAGCTCAGGCGCCCATGATGTCATCCATTCCAAGCTGGCAGATCTGCGGCTGACTCATCCAGTGCTGCAATCCAGGCACCGTTGCTTTGTTATTCAAGCCGGGTTTAATTGAACGCAGGGAAAATTGCTAGGCTGAATGAATTCAAGGTGTTGGCTGTGTGACGGTGGTTTGACTGCTGGTCGTGTGATTGATCACGGACATCGGTAGAACCCAGAACCAAGACCAACGGGATATTTGATCTGCAATGGTATGCATTTCCACATCATCGAACTGTCCATTGACGAACTGCTAGATTATTGTCATTAAATCGTCGATCAGTTTGCATTTTATTGACCAGGTACCAAAAATTACATCTACTGATTTGAAGATCTCATCCGAGTCGAACAGTATGCTTTTAAATTAAATTCTAATCATTTATTCATGATGAGTGAGCCAATATCAACGCCTTCGTACACCAATATATGAAGTAGCAGAATGCACATCTCCCGTGATATCATCCCCAAAATCCTAGTTAATATTGCTCTTGCGCAAGTATCTGGCGAAACTGTGATCCGCATCCGAAGGACCAGCCTGATCTGCCAGGGCATCCTTGTACCGCTGTGACAGCCCTTCATCGTTACCCGCTGGGGGAGCACCGCCATATCCATCTTCATCGGAATCATCATCGTCGTCGAAACCTCCCTGGCCAGCCGCATCTTCTGCCTCTTCTTCCGCCTCACTGACGGTCTCGGCTTCGTCCTTGCGTTGACGACTAGAACTGGAGACGCTCATATCCTTCATCAGCTTGCCCAGTTCCAGCTCCCGCTGTGCAGCCTTGGTCTCCTCACGCTCCTTCTTCTTGCGCTCCAGCTCAGGCTTGTAGTCACGCTCAAATTCCTGGCGCTTCTCCTCCACAGCAGCGAAGAACTCATCAATACCATCACCCGTCATGGAGCTCACACCCACGACGTTGAGATGGCGATAAAACTCCTCCAACATCAAGCTCATGCTGTTCAGTAGCGATCCCATGTATCCACTTCCAGCACCAAAGCCACCGGCTCCGCCCTCAGCGCCAAACGCACCCGACTCCTCTTCTTCCCGGAGCGCCTGCTGAAACGCATCGAAATCGGACATCCATTCTTTGGCGAATTCGGCATCCTGCACGTCGGTCTTGTTGAAGACAAGGATCATCGGCAGCTTGGTTTTGTACAGGATACTGCAGGCGTAGAGCATGTTGCTCATGAAGGTGCTCGTGGAGCTGGTGCGGGGGGTATCAATGACATATGCGATGACGGTAGGGAATGAAGAGGCCAAGGTTTCAAGCAAAATGCTTCCAGATGCGCTCCAGACGAACACCTCAATCTGTCCGGGAGTGTCGACAAGAATGTGCTCGATCGGCTTGGCGGAGGGGTTGCTCGGGTTTGGTGCGGTACGCTTCTCCAGTAGGGCGATGATCTGGTCGACTTTCGTAGCGAACAAGTTGAGGGATGTGAGAATACCGCCGTTAGGCCCGAGGTTGTACTGCTTCATGACTTCTCTGTAGTTGATGGAGTCGCGGATGTCGATGTTGCTCTCGAACGGAACGGAGTAGACAGCGGGGTCCAGGTTCAGCACGTAGGGAACCTTCTTCTTCGAGTGGAGATGCGAGTTGATTCTCTGCATGAAGGTCGTCTTGCCGGAGCCTAGGTAGGAGCGCTTGTCAGAGAAGATGAAGTTGAGATGGGAGCAGTATCGGCATACCTGCCATGCCGACGCAGACGACGGCCACGGGTGATTGCGCCATGGTGTAAGATTGATAATGATGAAGCTAGCAGACTAGAAATAGAATAAGTGCAAGTCAACAATCCGGCAAGTTTCAGAAAACGTCCCGATAGGATGGTGTTGACGGCGAACAAGTGAAGCGGGGAGCCCGAAGAAAAAGGAAAATGTTGCGTCGCGGGGATGGAGAGATCGGCTCCGGTGGAGTCTGGACCGCCCAGACGTCATTCCGTCCGCAGCCTTTTCCTCGCTTCTTCTTCATTTTGCATTCCTCAGCAGCTCAACCATCACAATGACGCTCGAAGATTTTGAAAAATCGCTAGCGGAGGAGCAGGAACAAAGACGCGAGAAGAGCGACAGGAGTAGGCATCGCCATCACCGCGACCGTGACCGTGATCGTGACCGTGACCGTGATCGTGACCGTGACCGTGACCGCAGCCGAGAGCGCAGACACCACCACCGCCGTCACCGTTCGTCCAGGTCGAGGGAGCGCGACCATGAGAGACGCCGGGATTCGCGGCGTAGCGAGGACGACGGACACCGTCATAAGCGATCGCGCCATTCGACCGACCATGGAGATGATCGTGACCATGCACACAAACGCCGACACCGCGACAGCAGAGACGAGGCGGACGCGCCTGCCCCAGTGGAGGAAGTCGTGCAGGAGGAGCCTACTCGCTTGAAGAGAGATGCTTGGATGGAGCCGGACGGAGTCGATGTTGACTACGTTCAGCGACGCAATACGACGCGTTTGGAGGAGGAACCGAAGCCGAAGATGCTACAGGCGGACTTTGAGCTGAAAATTCACGGCAGGGAGCTCAACACTCATTTACACGATTTGAAGGAGGGCAAAGTGCTAGAAGAGATTGAAGAACAACCTGCGCAGCATGAGGTGGACTACACGTTTGGTGATGCGGGCGCTCAGTGGAGAATGACTAGGCTCAAGGCCGTCTATAGGGAGGCTGAAGAGACGGGGAAATCTGTCGAGGAGGTTGCCTTGAACCGGTTTGGAGACCTACGCTCATTTGATGATGCACGAGAGGAGGAAGCAGAATTGGACCGCCGCGAACGGTACGGTGAAGGCTACGTGGGCAAGGAGAAGCCTACAGGTGAACTCTTCCAGGAGAGAAAGCTAGATGAGGGTGTCCACCGCGATCCCCATGAAAATCTCCGCAGTCCCGGAAAGGAACTTGATGCCCAGGGCCAGGGCAAGCCAATGGAAACTGTGCCACCCACAAGCACAACACAACATCTGGACCTGACGGCTCTCAACCGATTGAAGGCACAAATGATGAAGGCCAAGCTCAAGGGCGCGCCAGACGCAGCAGAGCTTGAGGAGCGCTATAATGCAGCTGCAGCGGCCATGTCAAACCGGAAGGAATCTGATGTGGTGGTTCTGGGCGTCATGGAGAACCGGATGCTGGCTGGCACTCGAAACGAAGTGAAGGCAGTTGAGAACCGGCGTGGCCGTGAACGTGGCAAAGTAGAGGAGAACGACGAAATGACAATCGAGGACATGGTTCAGGAAGAGCGTCGCACCAGGGGGCAATTTGGAGGCGACGGACGACGGATGGCGGAGCGAATCGCCAAAGACTCCAAGTTTGAGGTGAGTACTTTGTGCATTTAATTCTCTGAATGCAATGCTAATGTAGCGCAGAATGACCTGGAATATATGGACGACAATGCCTCCAAGCTGGCCAAACGGGTACACCGATCAGAGATTGACATCAAGAACATCACCATCAACGAGCTACAAAAGATGAACCGCATTCTCGACAACTGTCCTCTTTGTCACCACGAAGACACAAATGCGCCGCCCATTGCACCCGTCGTGGCATTAGCAACGCGGGTCTTCCTCACTCTTCCCACGGAGCCCGAGCTCAACGAGGGCTGTGCCACCATTGTTCCCATCCAGCACCGCACGAACCTGCTCGAGTGCGATGACGACGAATGGGAGGAAATCCGGAACTTCATGAAGAGTCTGACCCGCATGTATCATGACCAGGGCCGCGACGTGATCTTCTACGAGAACGCGGCTCAGCCGCATCGCAAGCGACACGCAGCCATGGAAGTAGTACCTCTGCCCTACAGTCTCGGAGAGACATCTCCGGCCTTCTTCAAGGAGGCCATCCTCTCCTCAGACGCGGAGTGGTCGCAGCACCGCAAGCTTATCGATACCCTTGCCAAATCCAAGCAAGGGATGGGACGGAGTGCATTCCGACGGTCGATTGCGCGGGAAATGCCCTACTTCCATGTCTGGTTTGAGCTGGACGGCGGACTGGGCCATGTGGTTGAGGATGAGAACCGTTGGCCTCGGGGGGATCTTTTCGCCCGAGAAGTCATCGGAGGAATGCTGGATCTGGCGCCGGATGTGATTAAGCGGCAGGGACGCTGGCATCGCGGTGGGGATCGGCGGGTGGCTGGCTTTCAAAAGCGATGGAGGAAGTTCGACTGGACGCGCGTGTTGGTGGAGGGCGCACCCTAAACTCTTCATGGAGTTCATTAGTTAGTTAGTCTGTATAATCCGCGAGCTTCGTATGACTCACTTATAACCATTGATGTCTCTGTATACTCTGCATCGCACCAACCGGAGATGAAGCCGAAGTGTAAACTCGATAACGGGAGCGGGGCCGTGAGGGTATTTCCCTATCTCTGGTCTCTTATAGATTGTTGATTCTTCAATCCTCTTTGCCTTCTTTCTCCTATCTAGACTCCATCCAGTCTCTGTTCTTCCCAGTACTCCATACACCCGCAAGCCAAATTTCCGTCCACAAGTAGGAGTCTCCTCGTGGAGTCCCACCCCCACTCGGTATATAACCGCCCGAGGATACTATCTTCGGCAACCCCCACGACATCCAACTTTCTCCAGTACTCTTCTCACTTACCTTTCTCACCCCTCCACTCTCTAACAAAACTATAATCATTCAGTTACACAAATACACATAATGGGCTCCAGCGACCCCAAACCCAAGGTCCTCCTCCTAGGAGACATCGTCCAGTACGTCTATTGCTCATCAATCACATCATCATCATCATCATCATTCCCCGCACCACAACACTACCCCTCCAACCACCAATACTAACAAGAGTAACAACAACAGCGCCCACACAACCTGGTCCTCCCTCTCCGACATCGCCGACCTAATCCGCCCGACAGCCACCAACCGCGCCGAATTCATCCAAGAATGCCAATCCGGCGCCCTGGACGGCGTCATCGCCGCATACCGCACCTTCGACAGCGTGAGAATCACGGGTCTAATTGACGAGGAACTCGTCAACGCGCTGCCTAAGTCGTTAGTTTATTTGGCACATTGCGGTAAGCTCCACCCCTACATCACCATACAAACCTCCACAGACAACAAAACAAGATGATTGATCAATGCTAATGGCTTAAATATGCAGGAGCCGGCTACGACCAAATCGACCCGCACGCATGCAGCGCGCGCACCCCGACTCCCATCCGGATCTCCAACGTCCCAACAGCAGTGGACGACGCGACCGCCGACGTCAACATGTTCCTGATCATCGGGGCGTTGAGGAACTTTAACGCGGGCATGCACGCCCTCCGCGAGGGGAAGTGGCGGGGTCAGCCTGCGCCGCGACTGGGACATGATCCGCAGGGTAAGGTGCTGGGGATTCTGGGGATGGGAGGCATAGGTAGGAATCTGAAGAAGAAGGCGGAGGCGTTTGGAATGAAGGTGATTTACCATAATCGGAGAAAGCTGAGTGAGGAGTTGGCGGATGGGGCTAGGTATGTGAGTTTTGATGAGTTGTTGGCGGAAAGTGATGTGGTTAGTTTGAATTTGCCGTTGAATGTGAGTAATTCTATTCCCCATGGTTGTTTGGGTTGTGGTGGACGGAAGTATATGCTGACTATAGTAGAAACATACCCGCCACATTATCAGCACGGCCGAGTTCGCCAAGATGAAGGACGGAGTGGTGGTTGTTAACACTGCTCGCGGTGCTGTTATGGATGAGGAGGCGCTCGTGCAGGCTCTTGATAGTGGAAAGGTGTATTCCGCTGGATTGGATGTCTTTGAGGAGGAGCCGACGGTGCATCCGGGATTGGTCCGCAATCCGAATGTCTTGCTGGTGCCGCATATGGGTACTTGGACTGTTGAGGTGAGTGTCTCTACGTAGTTTTGATTATGGTGGTCGGGCTGAGTACTGATACGGCTATAGACACAAACTGGCATGGAGGAGTGGGCGATTGAGAATGTCCGCATGGCGCTGGAGACGGGCAAGTTGAAGAGTCCGATCCCAGAGCAGGCGGATCTATGAATTTCATATTGTACATATTAGTACGTCTAGACTACGATAGATGGTGCCAGTCGCAAATACATATATACAAGATGTTCATTATTCATTCTTCTGCGAAAAGGAATAAAAAAAAAAAAAACTCGCAGCTTGTCAGGGCAGTTCCCCTTCAAGCAGGCGAATTGAGCCATGATATAGATAGATAATCGACAAGAATGTAAACCACCACCTTATCAGCAATGCAGCCGTAATAACGCCATGATAACTGCCATCCAGCTGCAGCGAAACTGAAGCGAATCAACTCCGGAGTCGTGATGCGACGGCTTCCCCGTATTTCCGCAGTCCGGGAGAGAGAGAAGCATGGCCCACCAACCGGTTCCATCCAATCTGGGCCAAAGCTGGGGAAAAATGTGAACAATAAGCTGGCAACAATGAATGAGCAAAGCAAAGGAAAGAAGAAAGAAAAGATCTAGTTAAACATCGTCAAAGGTAGTCGCCAATCGCTTTTTCATATTACAGGTCGCAAATAGATATCGTCAGTGCATGCAAGCCGGCTCGGATTTACTCCCGCGAAACAATCCAGGACCGAACCACCATGCCGCATATGCGCTTGATCACCTGGGTGGTGCCCTTGCCACCCGCTTCCTGCTCGAGGAACTTCTGCGCCACGTACAGCTTCGCCCCCGCGTCCTTCTCGTTGGTCGTAATCGGTTGCGGGAAGCTGCGCGGGAAGTCCGCCCACCGCTGGCCCAGATGCCGGGCAATTGCAATTGAGTAGATCACGTCACGGTTTTCAAAGGTATCCAGCAATGTACGGCACCGTGCGAGTGTGTCGTCAATCTCCTTGGCCGAGCTGGCTTCGTTGTCGTGCAGCGTCAAGAAATGCCCGATCGAGCTCCAGAAATCCAACGACCGTTGCGTCAGCTGATCGGGCAACAACGGAGGGTTGGCCGCTGGCTCCCGCGTCGGAAACTGCGCAAGCGGGTTCGAGTCCAGGTGTTCCCCAGTGATCATCGATTCGATGACATCCAACCGCTTAGCAGCAGCCAGAAGATCGTATTCCGGTTGAGTTCCCGTAGATACGTTCATCACATGGCGACACAGAGTCATGGAGCTCCAGACGACTGACGCTTCGAAGCTCTCCAACCGAGCGAGCACATTGGGATCGCCAAGGTTGGGATCATTGAACGCATCAATCAACGCCGAGTACTCAGCCATGAGCTGCGCGTTGGCCAGAAGATGTGTCAGTGCCTTCTCCTGGAACCACCGAGTCTCGAAGAACTTGTCAATGGCAGGAGCGTACGTTGCCAGGAAGACCGCCTGAATTTCTTCCAGACGGTTTGGCGGGAGGGAGGTGATCGGATGAGGGGGAGGAGGCGGAATGCCGCGTAGCGCGAGAAGGTCGCTGATCTGAACTTGTTTTACTGCTCACGGTTAGCAGATGTACCCTAACACACCCTTGGATGACACTTACATCTGACGTTGGTCGGCTCTGATGGGGTAGCGCTGGTGCTGGTCATGGCGGGGTTGACCGTCGGCTGCAGGCCTCCCTCCACGGCGTGCTGAATGCTAGCCATGTTGTTAGAGTTGTTCACGTCCAGCGATGGGTCAATTGCAGTGCCGTAATCGTAGCGTTCACTTGGCGGAGCAGGCGACTCAGACGGAGCAAACGGTTGGGACGCAGCTGGCATGTAACCCGGAGGCGCAGCGGGATACGAAGTGGACGGATCCTGAGGATTGACCACCAAGGAAGGATGGGGATTAGGAGCAGGCTGGATGGCCGAGGGCGTGGGTTGTTGCTTAAATACGGGGTCGTAACCTAAGCATTCGCGCTTGCTCTTGACACAGTTGCGGCAGACAGGATGGCCTTCGTCACACTAAAGATATCGGTCAGTGGCAAGACTCAGCCGACAGGTAATGGTCTGCTAGAGCTTGGGAAATAATAAAGCAAAAAAATAAGCACGAGGAAGGAGGTCGAGGGGTGGCAGCGAAAAAAGGCAGCCCAGACAGGCGGGGAGCACAGCGATAGGCGAGTGGGCGCAAACAACAACAAGCGACCGGCGGGGTTGCTGCTGCACAAGCGAAAGGCCCGCCCCTCCGCCATTCCCTCGCTCCCCGCCTCTCTCTCTCTCTGTGCCTTTCCAACTGCATCTCTCCCCCTTTCTCTCCCGCCAATCCCATCTCACTTATTGCTGAGGGGTCATGCTTTTTTTTTTCTCTCTGCCATATTTTCCTGGTACGTACCTTGATTCTCCGCTTACGACAGGTGAGACACCCCGTCTTCGTCCGACGTTTCACCTCCTTCTTATGCCGTCCGCCCGACAACAGCTTATTGGGATCTCCTGGTAACTGATAGCGCATTTGCGCGTTTGCGTTCATGCCCATCTGCCCGACATTGGTAGGGTATCCCGTCATGTACTGGCCCACCGACGGCATCGGAGGCATATTGGATGGCATCGGTGAGCCAATAGGTGCCTGAGGGATCTGCGACGATTGTCCCGAAACGGCATGATGATCCATGGGCTGCATCGAAGGCGCATTCATTGAGGGGGAATGACTCTGGTGGTTGTGGTACATGTCCGATCCTTGCTGCGGCGGCTGCTGCTGCTGATACTGATGCGGCTGTGGCTGCCCCGGCGTATATTGCTGGGACTGCTGCGACGGCGTATGTTGTGGCGCAGGCGTAGACTGATGGGAGGGTGAATGCTGCGGTGGCTGCGCATATTGTTGATGATATGGCGGCTGCGGTTGTGGGGTCTGACCCGGCGTTGTCTGATGCTGCTGCTGCTGCCCTGGCTGCGGCTGGTGCTGTTGCTGCAGTGGTTGCGACTGTTGCTGGGCTGGTTGTTGCAGTGGGGTGCCATTCACGGGGGACTGATACGTAGGAGCAGGTGTAGACGACTGTACGGATTGCTCCGTAAAATCAAAACTCGTTCCTGGCCCTGAATGCGTAGGCTCCGATGCATGACCTTCGTTGGACAACGACTTGGTGTCGGGAAAGGAGAAGTCAGGCTCCCCGCCCGGCAAATGCCCATCTGCAGCCGGCAATGTAGTGTCCAGTGGTGGCAGCGAAGTGTCAATGGGCGGCAAGGAGGGTATTGTCGCATCGATCGGGGGCAGCGTATGGTCAAGGTTGGGTAGATGATCGTCCATTGCCGGCATTGTAGAATCGATAGGAGGCAGAGATGTGTCTATCGGTGGAAGGGAATTATCTGTCGTGGTCGGCTGCGTGGTTTCAACAGATGGTAATTCCGTCGACTCAGGAGCCGGGTTAGGCAGCTCGCCCGACGTGTTCGTCGGCTCTGTCGTGTCGGCCATCTCAATGGTGAAGTATATTCCCTCGGAAACTCGAGGAAACTGGATGACTGAATGTGGCTGAAGAATTAAACCGACTGTAGACAGGGACTTGTCGAGGACACGTAGAACTCTGCGGCTGATAGAACTTGCAGGGGTGCAACGATCGCGAGGTGCTATTTTCTCTAGTCTGGAAGATAGGCGTGTTAGTGACCAGACCTCGGCCCAGAAATTCCATGCACCCTCAAAGCACCGCAACTGCCGCCCGAGTGTTATTCGGCTGTGAATGTAAGGGACATTCAACGGGTTCCGACGTCTGGGTTTGCGCATGGTCGCGACGTAGTGAGCTGCTGTTGATGCTCCACGGTTGAGCCGCGCATCGGAGGAATTTCATAGGCCACGACTCTCGAGTCGATGACCAGGAGTTCAACGGAGTAGTCTGCGAGATGATCTTTCTCGAAATCTGCAGATCCGATGACAATGCTGGTATCGGAACCCAGGTGACGTTGAATGCGACCGTCAGGGAATTCCCACCATGTCGCCCAAACGTGGCACTTCAACGACGCAACCACCACTGGGGTTTGCCATCTCGTAACATCCAACGGCCATCCATGACCATCTTGTCTTTCCTGCGAGAGTTGACCTTTGTGCGAGCGGCCAAATCCCCAACTGGAGAAGGGAAGGCAGCGGAGTTGGGCGGGCGCGTTTCGGGAGGCAGGCAGATCGGGGCAGGCAAATGGGAAAGAAGCTCTCGTTAACTTACCATGCACTGGGCCAGATAAGCGAAAAGAAGCGAGCCGAATGACTATAGCACCAAAACACGCAATTCGGCACCAGACAGTCTCCGCATTAGGGGTGGGGGTTGGAGCTGGGATTGCGATTAAAAAATGTTGTTGCGCCCGCAAAAGAGAAAGAAAGAGAGAAGAGCTTCGGGCCCGCTTGAAGAGTCTCTTTTCTCCCCCGGACTTTTGCCAACGCTTGCCAGTTTTGCGCCAAATTTCCATCGGCAGCAAAAAAAAAGGGAACCAGCCAGTGGCAACTCAACCCGACAACCATAAATGGCTGCTACGCGTTTCTTTAACAGCAACAATCATTTAATCTCTTATTCTAAATATTATCGAGATTATACTAATTGATAATATTGACAGCAAACTACATGACCTTATAAAGTTTCAAATAACTTCATTATCATCCCATCTCAGGAGCCTTGACAAAGCCTCAGCTGGTCTTCTAATGCGTTTCCTCTCACATACGAATAGGCATATCTACTTGTAATTCTCTGATGAGTATTGCCTTGCCTTGAATGCTGTTGATGTCAATATTAGTTCTGCAAATGCATATCAGCCTTGTTGATGACTGCACGTACACCGATGGAAGCAGTCCATCTTCTGTCTCAGATCTGTGCTTAAATCGGACCAGCCGTTCTCTTGATATCCAGCTTCAGGTTCCACACCTGTAACTCCGTAGATTCCAGATTCAGTCATCTGTATGCTGCTCGGCTTCAGAGCCTTGGACAGGGTTTAGACACGGAATCGTGGTTGCATTTCTATGCGTCCTTTCTCGGCAATGTTTGCTGGACCTCAACCGCCTGGCAGACGGTGATCAACCAGTTGTATTTCGCTGACGATAATGCATCGTCAGATAATATTGCACTCGAGTAGTAACGAGAACCGCCGACACATAACAGCACCACGCACTATCGAAAAATGCTGATCGTGATGTTTGCCGTTACTTTCTCATAACCTTAGCCTTGCGCTTTTTAAAGACAACCCCAGTAGCTGGGGCATCTTCCAGTTCCTCCTTTGTCACAGGAGCCGCCTCGGAGGGGGCAGTCTCGCTCTCCTGTTTGACTTGAGACGGCTCACCGGTCTCCGGAGCTGCTGCATCCCCTTCCGACTTGACCGGCAGGAACTGACCCTTGACGGAATCCGACGCCTTCTCAGGCTCTGGCTCCGGCGCCGATTCCGCAGGAGCTGCAGATTTACCCTTTTTAATATCTTTCGTCGACTCCAAAAGAGCATCGAGGTCAGTGTCCTCTTGGGCACCCGGATACACTCGTGTCCGGGAGCCCCAGCCCTTACTAACGAACCGTTCGGCTTCCTGTTTCGCCTCTTCTTCCTCCTCATCCCGCTCTTCATGCTTTCGTTTGCGTACCCCTAGTGATTGACTGGCTTTTGATTCCTCCGAAGGTTGTACGACTTTCTCCGACAGTGTCTGCCATTCTCCGGCCAGGGCCATCTCACTGCGGTATTCTTCCGGAATAGCGATACCCATCTCCGCTAATTGTGCCATTTGTCGCTTTCTCTCTTCCAGAGAAACAGGTCGCTCCTGAGGTTTGGGCGCCGGGGCGGGCGCACGTTTCCAGGGCGCAGCATCCCCGTCTTTTCCACCCGCAGACCCGGCTACGGTCTGGCGAAGTCGCTCAACCTCATTTTTCGCTCTCTGTGCTTCGCGCTGTTGCTGCTCATTGTTCCGATGGATGTCACGAAGGAAGCGCTTTAGATTACCCTGATGCTTGGCTGTAGCCTCATGTTGAGACTTTTCGAAGGCGGTATCGCGAATGAAGATCTTGCATTGCTTGCACCAAAACTTGGGCTGTGTCGGAGTCAGTGCTGAGACACGGGAGATGAGAGAGAACGTTTCTGCCTACCGCTGATTTCCAATACTCCGCCATGGCTGTGGACCACTTGCTTTGAATCTTTCTGTAATCGGCCAAAAGATGGATGGACTGCTGGTCGCCAAGATGATATCACGCCGGGCTCTGCCTTCCCGACCCCGTGCCGCTAGTCCCAAAGGGGAATTTAGTTGTCGCCTGCTCAGTACTCTGTGAGACTATAAAGAGACCTTGATCCTGCAATTGAACATGAGGAAATTCAAGCACATCAGCTCCTTTTGCGGTTAATTACGCCTATCTGGAGGTATAGTTGTTGCAATGGCTTCCTCGACGGTGGTTGAATACGAGTTTGGTGGACCGTAAGCACGCACCTACCCCGGACCCTATCTAGCCTTGACAATATAGACTGAATTGCCGGTAGCCTAGGAGCCGCTGCCATCACCATTGGCCTACCTTTGCTCCTGTACTTCTTTGCCTTCGGCTGTAACGATGTATCAGGCTGTCCTGTGCCTTCGCTGTTGAGCCCTCGTACTTTCACTTGGGAGAAATGGACCGCGGAGACCGGGTGGCCTGAAGGTGGAATATGGGGGCTCTTCGACTGGAAAGTGACCGGTGCAGTGCTGGCATACTATTTCTTTATCTTGCTTCTTTGGAGGCTCCTCCCAGCACAAAAGGTTCATGGAACTAAACTGGTCCATCATGGCCGTCCGCTTGAATATCGCATGAATGGTAAATATACTTATACTATCTGTGAACCCCGGCTGCCATATGCTTCACTGGAACTGCGCTGACCACAACACTTGACAGCGTTCCCGACCAGCGTTGTCGTTTTTGCTCTCTGTGCAATTGGCACATACTTCAAAGGCGCCGACTTCGCTGTATGGACGTATATTGCAGATCACTATGTGCAGATGTTGACGGCCAATTTATTGATATCATTTGCACTCGCCACCTACCTCTACATCCGCAGCTTCGGCGTGGACACCAATTACCCCAATAGAGATCTTCGCGAACTAGCAGCCGGCGGGAAGACAGGCAACGTTATCTACGATTTCTACATTGGTCGGGAATTGAACCCCCGTGTCACTCTTCCATTCTTCGGGGAGATCGACATCAAGACTTGGTGCGAGATGTATCCTGGCTTGACCGGCTGGATCCTGCTTGATCTTGCCTTTGTCGCCAAGCAGTATCGCACTTATGGCTATGCCTCCGACAGTATTCTGTTGATCGCCTTCTTCCAGGGATTTTACGTGCTCAACAGCCATTACAATGAATTAGGGCTTCTGGTTATGATGGATACCACCACTGATGGCATGGGATTTATGCTCTCCTTTGGCGATCTTCTCTGGGTGCCCTTTCTATACTCAACACAATGCCGTTATTTGGCTGTCTACCCTTTGCAGCTGGGGTGGTTCAATGTCGCAGCTGTGAGCGCCGTCTTTGCCCTGGGACTGTACATCTTCCGGGCCGCAAACGACCAGAAGCACATGTTCCGCACGCACCCCAACAATCCGAGTGTGGCAGGCCTGTCGTACATTCAAACTAAGCGCGGAACTAGACTGCTCACAGCTGGATGGTGGGGGATGTCTCGGCATATCAACTACTTTGGGGACTGGCTACAAGCATTGCCCTTCAGTTTGCCTACGGGAATGGCAGGATATCTGATTTACCCGGCAGGGAGTCTTGTGGCTGCCTCACAGAGCTTCCAGATGACAGACGGGCGCAAGGTCGTCCAGGGTGAAGCCCAAGGTTGGGGAATAATCTTCACCTATTTCTACGTACTGTACTTTGCAATCCTGTTGATGCATCGGGAACGCAGAGACGATGCTATGTGTGCGGCAAAGTATGGCGAAGACTGGGAGAAGTACCGGCGGGCGGTCCGGTGGAGAATCCTCCCCTGGGTTTACTAGATGATCTTAACGTATGGATCGTTAGCTAGGCTAAGGGTTATTAAATAGATTCAACTGTATGGCGTCTACTATATTGGCCAATCATCGGTGTTCTGAAGGTTTAAATAAGATGGTGTTAGTCTGCAAGTAGCGGAGATGAGGGCAATCGTCCCTATAACTCTGATGGTTGGCAGGGCAACGTAACAAACGGCGGCCGGACCACAACAGCAAATCCACTTCACTCCCCTCCTCCATCCTGCTCGCGTTGGAATATTCCCGTGTTACTCAGTATCGCTATTCAGTATCATCCTTTTATCTCACTGAAGCCCGGTAGCTTATTTTGTTTATATTCTACAAACTCACCGTCTACCGGCTTCAAGTCCCTCCTTCCCGAGTCTCGCTTGACGTCAGCGCCGAACACACATTCCGCCGCGGATTCACCATGAAAATGGCGGACTTTGTCTGTCCTTCCGACACATTCCAGGCATGGTGAGTCCACCCTTCTCTTTGGACAGCCTAAAGGCCCGTTGTCTGTTTGGGACTCAATGTGGGAGATCTGTTGCGCCACCGCCATGTTGCGGCCCCCCTTTTCTCCCACTATCGCCAGTTCTCCGATGAACATCGCTGAGCCGTCATCGATGTCTTGTTTTCGCGTCACTAACAACTTACTCTCTCTGCAGCCCTCCACATCTACGGACCACCTTCTCTCAAGAAGATCGATTCAGATTTACCCCCGTCAAAGCTACTAGAGCCGCCCCCCGCCCCTGGGAACGCAAACCATCAACCGCATTCCGCGCCCGCGGCAAGTCGCGTAAGGTCTGGAAGCGCTTTCGCACTTCGTTCAACAGCATGAAAGCTCTGCAGCAATTGATTGCGGCAGAGCGTCATACCGTCGACGACGATCTCCATCTGGAAATCAACACGTCGCGGAATCCCGGCCTCCGTCGCGGTGTCAAGCGCAGATGTTTCGCTCTGGAAGCGGACGACTTGGAGGATGGTGTGCGCGGGCGCTCCTTCTTGGAGACGCAGTGGGAGTCCGAGGTCAATGGGCGGCGACGTGAGTTTCTCCTACCAGCTGCTTCAGAGGATTACCCAGTTCGTTGGGCTAACAACCCCAGGCAAACTTCCCCTCATCTACAGTGACTTTGTCGACATCCCCGATGAGCCGGTTGAATACGACAGCCTACAACCAGAAGAGTCGTGTGACGATGTAAAGAACGACCAGGAATTGCCCACGTCGACGTTAGAAGAGCTCGCGGAGAACCCTGCCGATATGGACGAATCCTCCAGCCCGATCCCGGAAACCCCCACTAAATTGGCGTCCGACGCAGCCTATAGCCGCTCGCTACATGGCCAGTCGCCGCTAGTGGTTGGTGGCATGGTGGTCGGCACCCCAGACTTAAGAACCCGCGAAGACGTCGAACAGCCGACTGTGCAGCTCTCCGACGCAAGTGAAGAGAAACCTGCGACCCCGGAGCATGATGGCCACGTTGAAAACACAGTATCTACGATGATCGGTGAAGAGCACATGGACGAAGAGCCGACTGTGCCTGTCGAAGTAGAAACCCTGGAGGAACCGGCAGCGGCTACGGTCGCCGCGCCTGTGCAGGAATTGACGACCGAGCAGGAATCAACGCTCGTTCGGTCGGCACTCCGAAGCTCATTGGACGGAGAGGATACTGAGTTGCTCAACAACTTCTTGTCCAAGGCCAAAGCCAAGCGTGAGGCAAAAGCCGCTATGGTCGCCCAGGAGCCCGAAAAGACTGAGCCCGAGGTGTCGGTTGTTGTTGCATCTCCCACACCACCGGCGCGCCGCGCGCTGGAGGACCTTGACACCAACTCGCCCTCACCGCAGAAGCCTCAACTGTCGCCTACCAAGGAGAAAGATGAGGCCAGCCCGCAGCCATCCAGCCCTCGACGCAGCACTCGACCTCGCACCGTTCGCTCTTCCAACCTGTTGACGACCATCACCGCTGCGGCTGCAGTACGCAATACCCTGTCACTGCGCCGTGCCAAGGGCACAGAATTCGTCTTCTTGCAGCGCACCGAGGCCCAGGAGCTGGCCCTCACGACGCGGCGAAACACGCGACTGAACAAGGGCAATGCACTGGCACCGAAGTTCGTTTTGCAGGGTCTCACACGCAAGTCGCCAGAGTCTGGGAAGAAGGCCGGTACCGCCCCTTGCACAGATAGCGAGACGACAGGAGACGTCTCGGAGCGACCGCACAAAACGGCGAAGAAGCATGTGTCGTGGAACGACGAGGAACTGGTGCAGTTCGACGACGGATCAGAGGCAGCAAAGGGCGAGGAGCATGACGTTGCGAGCCGCGGAAGCAAGGGCAAAAGCCCCGAGAAAAGAAAGGCAGCCAGTAGCCGAACAACGCGGTCTCAAGTGGCGCAGAAGAGTGGTGGGGAGGATCGCGCCGATGCAGCGCCTACTGCACCCGCTACTGCAACGCCTCGGACGCGGCGCGTGCGCCGGCTGGGTCCCGGAGCACCCAAAGCCGACTCGACGGCTGCAACAGCCGTCAGCAGCGTTTCCCTGCCCTCTCCGTCGTCCAGCAGCGACAACAGCGCGAGCACGGCGGAGCAGCGCAAAAAGCTCACCCCCAAGTCGCCGAGGCGGGTCCCGGCGACACCGTCGAAGCCTGCAAGCGACAGCATCAAGACATCACTGCGCAGCAGTAGCGCGAAGACCAACCTGCTGAAGATCAACGCTGGGTCGACGCCAGTGCCTCGGAAGATGCGTCCGCGCGCGTGAATATGATATTTTGTTGATATCCTCGTTTGCTTTCTCGTTCATTTGGCGTTTCGGGATAGTGTACATATGGGGGGACCTGACAGGGAAGGCGTTTGGTCTGAAGGCATGGGTGTTGCCGAATCAATTACTTACTACGTTAATATGAGATTTCATCATCTATTTCCATACCATAGTAGTAGTAGGACATCCTGTGCATCTCCCTAATACAACCTACAACCTCGATGCATAAAGTGCAACACATGGACCTCAGCCTTGTTGTTTCCACCATCACATTCAGATCTGCACATTACTCACATCCTTGCAGAGGATATGCACTGCGGAGGTGCAGTAACCTGGTAATCCATGGATGAATATCCAAGCTCTACACACACCTTATATTTACTCATACATAATGGATTTCTGCATGTCTCTGCACGATGATATAACCTCTGCATTGGGGGTTAAGGTTTCCCGCCCTGCATTGTACATATACAGTATAGCTGGGTTGCAGGTTGATGCAGTGGGAGGTGCCGGTGAGTGGATTTGATATTTATTTTGTTGTGGATAGTAAAAGGTAGAGTAGTAGTTATCGGTCGTGGTCGTGGCTCTAGTAGCTGGGCTGGAGTGAAGAGGGAGTAATTACTATCTGTAGTACTAACTCATTTAATAGTTGCAAATGTATATTTGCGTCAAGCTGAGCCTATGGTGTTCAATCCTTGAAAAGAGTAGGTGATCTTCTCATCTGAAGATACAGTACAAGGGTATCTAACGGCTTTGGTAAAGCAGAGCGATATATTTCGTCCGAGTTTAATGGAAAATATCTATTCCCTTAGTAGTAATAGTTGCAACATTGAGATGCGGAGAGAATATACCATCACACCACATGGGGAAACTATAGTGAGCTTTGACTACCACCATCATGTTTTTAAACTTTTGCACAGTAAACACATGTCGACGATCACCCATCATACTACTAAGTAGTACTGTACTACACAATAACTCCCCTCAATCAACTCATCTCCAATTGACCATCACACGAACTACCCCAATTGCTCTCTCTCCCTCCCTCCCCATTAATCCCTCAATCTCAAAAAATTACCCCACATCTCATCCCCATCCCACCCTACTATGTACGTAGTCTACTTTGCTTACACTCCGTATACCACAAAGCTAAGAACCAACAAACCGCAAATCCACGCAGATCCAAAGCCAAAAAATCAAAGTTCAGCCCAGGATGCAATTAGCTTTTTTTCCCCTTCGCTGAACTTCCCTAATTCAGGGCGCATATCGCGGGTAGACTCGGATACTAAGACTATCTTTGAAGTAAGCTACTTTGTATATTATGTAGTTTAGTATTTTGGTATGTGGCAGGGTTGATGGATCCAAATTTCAGATATGTTATGTTCTTCTGATTGATTTGTTTAACCGGGGTGGGAATCAGGCACCAGTACCAACCAACCATAACCAATGTAAAATGGTAGTAGATACTACTACGAACTCCTTCTCCTCCTCTAGACGAATGATATCTGTTGTCTACTAGTCTACCTACTGGATAAGTAAGTAGGTAGCGAGGATACTACTCCTATCTACTCCGTAGTACCTATGGATACTATCGATAGGTTACTATCCTCCGTATTCAGAAACATACCAAGTGGACCATTATCCATATCATCCCATCCAACATAAATAATCCCGCAAACATACTAAGTACTTACTACACGTAGATAGTAGATACTACTAACTAGTATCCCAGATAACCACTGTAACTAGGAGGAGTATACTTCCACCGTGTCACATTCAATCCCAATGAAATGTACTTTAGTATCCATAACTCCATCCATCTTCTCCATCCCGACTGGATGAACAAATCAGTAGTAAATGGGGGTTTCTACCCCTCTCTATCCTAACCAGTCCCAATCCAGCACCCAAGTAAATACTAGGGCTAGGGCAGTAAACCCCCCCCCACTCCCAACCAAATCCGTACTAGCCAAACTAACACCAACTAAGACAACATAACATTCACAGTACGCAAGCCCCCTTTCCCAATCCAGCCACTCGGTGTTTTAGGGCTTCTTCCAGATTTGCCCACCGAGGGGGGAGAACCCGGTACCTCGATTCCGAGATTCTCCGATACGACCATGACTAGCCTGGTTCGGTTAGAGTCCCGTTCCATATGTTCCTTCGCCCCTCCTTTTGTTTTAATTGTTTTGTTTGATTCCAGGCACGTTATGATGAAAGAATATCTGTCTCTATACCAAGCATTGCATATAATAACAGGATTTAGTATATATGCTGTCTTGGTGTGGTCGATGAACGTTCTAGACGCTCGTCAAAGTTGCCACATAGCCCCTGTGTGCCGCTCATTGTCAGATGTTATGGGTGGTTTGTTTTAGATATTCAAAAGGATTGAAGGGTGTGTGGTAGGTACGGATTATGAGGGTGACGTCATTGCGCACTAGCCCCGTCAACGCATGGAGGACAGTCCTCCGACCCTCCGAGTAAGTAGCCTACTTTGTAAAACTAACTTACTGGGATTAGTCCCGTCCCGTCTCCATCAAGCCACTTAGGTTATTGATTGTGATTCGGCTCGCAAGCACATGCATGCATGCATGGATGGGTTGAGGTTTCATTTGCGAACTGTTGGTGGGAGCGATGTTTGATGGCTGGGATTGGCGGATAGAAGTGGTTTCCTATTATTAACTTATTATCCTCGACTATTTATTATTATTATTTTTTTTATTTTGTTCCGTCTATTCTAAGGGGTAAAGGAATGAAAGTGAAATACATGGATTGCTTTCTATACGTATTGTATTGTGGTGTAATCTGGCTATTGCTTTGGATTGCTAGATACACATTTCATCTCAATAGGTCCATCCACTCATAAGCTCATTTTGTCCAATTTTACTGGTTTATGGCCTGCATAAATCAAAAATCGCTCTCTATCATCATCTAAGCAGAAAGGTTCTTGGCGGTCTCCTCGGGCCACACGTCGTAGCCAAAGGTGTCCTTCATGTTGACGAAGCGGAAGTGACGACCCTCAGCCACCTTGTTGACGGCCTCGTACTCCTCATCCGTCAGCTGGATGCTCTTGAAGTTGGACTCGATACGAGCCGGGTTGGAGCTCTTGGGGAGCACCACGTAGCCACGACGCAGACCCCAGGCGATGAGCACCTGCGCCAGGGTGTAGCCGCCCTTCTTGGCGATCTCGTTCAGCGTCTGGTTCTCGCTGACCTTCTCACCCGTCGTGGGCACCTGGTTCTGGGAGCCCAGGGGAGAGTAGGCCTCGGGCAGGATGTCGTGCTTGAAGCAGTAGTCGACCAGCTCCTGGTTGGGCAGGAAGGGGTGGATCTCGATCTGGTTAACGTGAGGCTTGACCTCAGCGTACTTGAGAAGCTTCTCCAGACCCTCGATGGTCCAGTTGGAGACACCAATCGCCTTGGCCTTTTTCTCCTTGTAGATCTTCTCCATTGCCCTCCAGGTGGGCTCCGGGTTCTCAGTGAGATCCTTGAGGATCACGTACTATCGGAGTATCGAGTCAGCTGTGCTCCGACCGGTAGTACCCGACAGAATTGAGTGAAGATTTACCTTTCCATCAGGGCCAATCTTGGGCTTCTCCTGAGTCTCCTTCTCGGCAGCAATGGGCCAGTGAACAAGGAAGAGGTCGATGTAGTCGACCTTGAGCTTCTTGAGGGAGCTCTCGATGGACCACTGCACATCCTCGGGGCGGTGGAGGTGGTTCCAGACCTTGGTGCAGATGAAGATGTCCTCACGCTTGACGGAGGGGTTGGCAGCGAGGAAGTCCTTGACGGCGTCACCAACCTCACCCTCGTTCAGGTAGTACCAGGCACAGTCGAGGTGACGGTATCCGGTGTTAAGAGCGCAGGTGACGGCCTTGTAGGTCTCACCCGTGGCACCCTCGTTGGCGAAGGTACCGAAGCCGACGCCGGGGATCTTGACGCCGTTGCTGAGAGTGAAGGTCTGTCCGGAAGACATGGTTGTATAGGGGTATCGATGTGATGGAGTATAGAAGGGATTGGGTATAACTGAGGAGGAAGAAGAATAGCTAAGGAAGCCGAGGGATGAGTACAAATAGCGGGTGGGAGGGGAAGAAGTCACTTGGTGGTATCGGCGAGGAGGGGCTCTCGTTGAGAAGGCAACTTTACAGGCAAGAACAGCAAGTGGGGTGGAGGGGGTTGTGTTGATGAGGGGTATGATGCTGTTGCTACTAATTCTATTATGCAGGGTCATTTCTTTGACTTTCGGTTTGCTGCTGAATGTACACTTGTACTTTTTTTTTTTTTTTTTTTGACTTTAACCAGCCATCTTGTGGATGAACATCCACACTTGACCTTGGTGTTTTGGTTTATTTCCAAGCTCGAGCTTGGGGGAGCTCCTGGTGGCATATTTTTTTTTTACTCAGTGAAGCTTCCATCCATGACGGCATGGGCACGTTTTTGGTTTGGCCTGAAGAGACACCAAACCCACTTTTTTT